CTCCCACTTCCCTAGCGTTCCTTCGGGGTGTAGTGGTCAGCACACTGAGGCCGGTATTTCCAGAGGTTTCCGTGGTTCGATTCACAGCGGAAGACGGTCATTGTTCAGTTTTTCATCTCTCTGGCTTCCAAAAAATCCTAATGATACTTTACAAGGCGACCTAGCTACATTATAAGGGAATAATGTAAAGAATTAGATTAATCACTAAATACGTAAAATATTTCATTCGTAATTTGCTATAAATGATTTTTTTTTTTTTTTTTTTTTTTTTTTTTTTGTATATTTATTGTTTTTTCAGTTAGTCTGGCTTTCTGATATGCTGCCCTTGAGAAATAAAGATAACTTATTCAAACAAAATTTTCAATAACAATTTGAGCTGTTTAAAAATTTCATTCTAAAGAGATTAATTTGTGTCATACAGTAAACCACTTTCAAGAAAATCGGCCATGGATCCAGATGATTTTGGTCTTTGGTGGAAGTGGTTCTCATAGACAAACAATATTCAATATTAATAGTTATACACATAGAGTTGCTAGTCACTCTCAGACGTCCCAAAAGAGCTGATAACCACGAACATAGTCTATTATATTTGTTTAAAATCGTTATATTTCAAGAGCAAACAAGTGTATAAATGATATTAAACAGCATGTTAATTTTTAATCTGAAGTTTGCTTGATAGTCGGTTAACTGACATAATATGTAAATACTGCACGCAACGTAATTTGAAGAAATAATTAATATAGATAATTCTTGATAATAGTTAAGTGTAATTACATATTAATGGGGAAATTTGGTGTTATATGGAAACAAACTAAAACCAAATTATGTGCAGACGTAGAGAGAAGTATCGCTGTTCCTGAAGATAACGACAAAGTCTTGAGAAGGTTACAAAATAACTTCTTTATTAAATCATAACTTAATGGATATAACTAGAACATAAATGACACTTCTCATGCTCATATAAGCAATCACAACTCGATGTAATTTAAATTAACAGACAAAATTCAAATTAAATCTAAGACTAGTAGTCAAAGACTACACAAGTGATTTAATGCAGAGTTGGCTGCAATTTCTCACCGACGTAACAATTTAAATATCACCAGCTATAACGCAAAGCCGAAAACTTCTAATCTTTCAGAGCTAGCGAAACCTAGTAATTTAGCCTCAAGAGGCAGAAACACGCTCTGACAACCTAAAACTCTCAGTTAAAATACTCTGAAACTAAATTTGCATTCTGGTAGGAAAACGGAAAAGTGACAGTAGCAGTACAAACCAACATAATGGTTAACATAATATAATGTAATGATATAGCTTATTTGTTGCAATTTTGGAAACGAAATTCCAAAAATATCACACAAGTATTACATTAGCTTGCCCTTCATATAGTATACAAGTGTTCAAATTAAGAGAATTTTCTCATTTGGTCGTTTTATTCAGAATAGGTGGACGAAATGCGATATGGACATAGATTAATATAATACAAAAAATGTGCCATATAATAATCGTGCTATACACGCGTAAGCATTTCTCTGGATGATCTGAAACAGAGGTTGAAATCGAACAAAAAGGCGGTTAGTAAGGAATAGGGTTCTTTGTAACAGTCATGTAGCTCTCATAACATGACTTTCATTTGGAAACTGAGCAGTTTGTGAGTCAGTGTATTAGTCAGCTTCATTCTTGTAACAACGCTCTTTTAAGGTATTGAAAAACTCTGAGTGGCAGGGGTGGAATTGCGAGTGCTTTCCCAGGAGTGTCTCAGCCATGTTCTATTGAGTTTAGAACTAAAGATCTAGTTGGCCAATCCATCCGTTAATATTTTCACTTTTCAGAAAATCATCCACCATATTTGCCCTATCTGAACGAACACTATCATCCATTAAAATTAGCTGAGGGTTACTGCATTCTGGAACTGAAAACAAAGGGCTCTTTGATCTCAATTGTTTGCAAAAATGTCCTAATGCCTGCTTCCTGCTTGTTTCTGCGCAGAACGTCAGTCTATTTAGCATGATACTGACAACACCGACTTTAGATCAAGCATAGGTGGGGAACTTTTCTATTTACAAATGGGTCTCAATTCAGCTTAACCCTTGATCATATATGTGTCTTCACCTGCAAAGAACAACGGACTTACTACCTGACTTCCAGCACTAAGAAAGGAATCAGTATGACAATGGAAATTTGATTGTCTGGTCACGCTGGTCAACTGCACAGTTCTTCATGTGCTTAATAGTGGCTCTGAGAGTGCTGCAAAGTACAGGGAATACCTTAGAGCATTATTTTTACTTTCTCAGTGTATAACACTCGGTTCAGTTACGGGAACAATAACACATATTCATACATGGGAAGTCTTGTGGGTGTTTTTCAAGAACTTGAGAATATTCACAGCATGAATATCTAAAACTTATAGTATAGGTTTGAGATACAATTGTGGCAGCAAATGTATTCGCTTTACCCCTCCCAGAACCATCCAGGACCTGAATACAGTATGTTACCGGAGGAACGAGACCAACTGCCACAGAGATTAATAAACTGCCTCTTTTCCGTTATAAAGTCACATTATGAGATATTTATGATTGTTAAGTGAGATAATTCTACCTATTAGCCTCCTTTTTATTAAATTTAGCTCGTTAGACCTTCCTTCACCGATGAGCTTTCCTTGTGATAATTGTGTGTTTCATTAAATGCCCATACAAATTTCATTAAAATTTGTCCATCAGTTCTGGAAATAATCAACCAAAGGTGAAAATTATCTAAATTTTGAGCACTAATATATGTATTCAAGCGTTTTGTGCTTGATATGAAAATGCCGTAAAGATGCTTCTTATTTGAATGTGATAAAACCAGTGTGTTCCATTAGTGTGTTCAGTTAAATAGTCAAGAAATTGTCATATAATTTGTTTCTATTTTGAGGAAAATGATGTACAGAATTTTTAATGATCCTGGAATTGTTTTCAGCATTTCTTTGCCCATTAGATTGAGTACAAGCATGTTAGACCTTCATATTGGCTTGTTTGAAAAGTTGTGACGCATTTCTTCTAAGTTCTACAAAGAAAAAATGCGTCACAACTTTTCTACAAAGATCTACAAGTTGTTTTACAAAGATCCTCTATTTATATAAAGAATGAATAATATACTGCACGTTTTGTCCAATAACATTTTACTTTATTTTAATGAGCTTCGTAATTTCTCATTTAGAAATGAACCTAGCTTTATAGATGAAAATCTAAACAAGGTACTGATTTACGGCATCATCTAAAATAAATATTATAGCACAACAGAAATTTTGAAGAGAGCAAAATAAGAGAAAGTCTGAGGGGGAGTATGGTACGCATGGCAACATTTTTTGAACTCCATTAATTTTTGTCAAGTGATCAAACTTGGGTGTGTGGTCTCGCGTTATCGGGATGTGTTGTGCTGTGACTTAACTCACTTGTCTGACATTAACATCAGAACAAGCCCACGAAATTCATCGTAGCAAGGAGCGCAACACTGCACCTGCCGTTGGCAAGAGCCTTGAACACAATACAGGGATTATCAGGACGGAATGCAGTTCCTATATGAATAATGAGCTCTGGAAGTTTCTGCGAGATGGTTTCATTGAAACTGTCCAGTTGGCAAAAGCACACATTCTAAATATAATTTAAACTTGGATAACGATAATTTAAACGATATTCAAACGAAAATTTAAAATAGATTTTCATTCCATTAATTAATCTACTTGCACAGATCATTGATTTTCGTTTACGTCGATACGGCGGAAAAACAAATGATGTCACAGAATTTTGAATCCTTGACAAAAGTGGCAGACCTTCAACATTGGCCGTGGATAACGACAGTACGACCAACGAACATGTACGTAGAGACGAAAAGCTCCCATAGACGTAATGTAAACCAGTTTGATTCTTGCGCTGCTATATCGTGAAGGGACAAATTCTCGTCACCAAATCGTCAGGTGAACAGGAACTTGTTTAAAACGGTACAAAAACCAAGAACTTACAGAATTCGTTCTTTGACAAAACGTTTAGCAATAATTTAAACTCGGATTTTCGTTATTATTTACGTCGATACGGCCGGGGAAAAATGGTATCACAGAACTTTAAACTCTTTATAAACTTGACTTTCGACCTTCGAAACAGACTCGACAATTACTTCGCGCTTGCGCAAAAAAGGTGTTAAGGCTGGACTGATTCGACAGATATTTCGCACTTACGCAAAAAAATATTGAAGCTGGATGAATAGCTCCTGTAAAGTAAACTTGAAGTATATATTACCCCCTGTGTTCTGGCGTAGCCACTCCTGCTTTGGCGAAGCTTTTCATACATGTTCTTTTTTTGTTGGCATGTAAGGATCTTAAGTTTTACTAACGTTTATTTTATTTTAAATCTTTACTATCACTTCTTATTTTCTACTTCCGGCCAGAATTAAAAGCGTTAACTTATTTATGCAAAATTTGTCTGGCGAACGCCAAGTACTTAAGTTGTGGCTTTTTGCCAAGCGAGAGATAGGAAGCAGTTAGTCGAAGCAGGCCGCTTACCTTAGAAGTTTTACTCAGTGCTGGGTTGCCTTCCAGGCCAGAGGTTTAATCCTCTTGATAATTTTAAACGTATTGTAGTGTTAACAGTTCTCTGTACTGCATACGGCTTCCTGTTAAATAAGGCCAATCTTCCACGTTTATTATTTCAAAGTTAAGTTAGAGTTTAGTTCTATTTTTATTTTCTTACGTTTAGACCACAAGTAGTGGGTCTTTGTATTCCGAAGTACGGAAATTATTGTAAATAGAGAAAAATAAAGGGTTTTGTATACCCTTCTTGTGTATCCTGTCTACTTACCACAGTTACTGAACATAGCTTTAGTAAGCTCTCTGTTCCGAGTCAGGTCCTTGCATGTTCCCAAAGAAAGTAAGACGGAACATTGAACCTGATAGGCATACATGTTCTTTTTTTTGTTATGACGTCTATAATTTTATTATCTGACTATAATATTAATACGCTCTTTTTCAGACTGCCCACTGGTTCAATCAATATTCTTGGGCGTTATTCAAGGCCATGTCGCACATGCTCTGCATAGGTTACGGCAGATTTCCACCTCAGAGTCTGACCGACATGTGGCTTACACTTCTCAGTATGATCAGTGGTGCTACGTGTTATGCTCTATTTTTGGGCCATACTACCAATCTCATACAATCCCTAGATTCCTCCAGACGACAGTACAGAGAAAAGGTAAAGTTATTTCAACAGTTTAATATGTTTAGAAAAGATTTTGATGCTTGACTGCTACAAAAGCTGCAATGGCGTGCAAACTATAGTCACTTACTTTAAAATGTATATTTCAAAGGCATTACCATCCTCCCCCATTCATGATTATAACAAATGCAGTCATCACAGCACAGCAGTTGTTTCTTTCACCACATCTGAGATTATAGATCAAGTCAGCCTTCATTCACGAGGTTTTCTTGAAGAGAAACATGCTAAAGGAAATGAAGTGAAGAAACGAATTAGGCAATTCAAACTATCTACAGAAACCGTCGTTCCCACGATTACGAGGCAGGTCGGATGGTGAAAAATTAACTTAAAATGGCTGTTTTAAAGTAACAGAGTACAGTCTCAGCAGCGTTTCTGCTAAAAAATTGTTCAGGCAAACGGCATCATTTGAAAATCTAATTCAGTAAAATATATATAAAAAGTTTTAAAAAATTAATTCATTGTTCAAAGAAAAATTAGCAAAGCACGTACTGAGTAAAAATGATACGTAATAAATGCGAAGAGATGTATTTGTTAGTTTTTTTTTTTTTTTTTTTTTTCAGTTCTTTTAATTGTGATTTTTTATCTCGTAGCTGTTGCTGTTACATCATACAAGTATTAAATTTTAAAATTCACCACATTATAAATTGTATATAAATAAATGCAGTTAGCAAAATTAATTGAAAGTAACGGAAAGAAACTTTTATATTTCATATCGATGACTGTCTGCTAAGCATTTGTTCTGTGGCTTTACAACTGGGATTAAAAATGGATTCAGAGTAGAATCAAATGAATAAACCTCTTACTATAAAAAAACGTAATTGTGCATTATCAATGTTTTTGAAATAGCTTGAAATCAGAAATAAATAACCACGTACACATTCAAACGCTACAAATTTCATTTTTTGTATTTCATCACATTTTGCAGCCATTTAAGACAAATTTATGAAGAGTAATAGATATGTTTTGACTCAAAGGAAATTTTGAATAAATTCCTTTTACGTGACGGCCTTGTAGTATATAAGGTCCTTACTGAATAATATTATTTCAAAGTCCTTCAGATCCTTTAAGCAGCCAAGAGAGTTATCATTCGTCTGAAAATGTAAGTCAGAATCTTCTAGCGATCACATTAGCCAATCAAAAATGTTCATACTATGAAGCAGTTCGAATATCAGAATCTGTCACACGAGAGCACTTTTGTGATACTGATAAGGTTTTCGACTACCACGTAGTAGACCCAGGATCAAATCTCAAAGTCATTAACATCTTAAAGCGCATATGAAACTCGTTTGCTGCTGCGTTTCTGATAGACGCTAACAAATAGCGACACAAGCAAGCAACTACATACCGAGCGGCACCCAAGCGAGCTTACGACACAACGTGATCAATGCAATCTTATGACGGTTTTAAATATAGCTCTTTTATTTAAGTTGGAATTAAAGAGAAGGCACAGCTTGTACATACAATCAAAACATCCCCACTTATGGGTAAGGTAATAGAAAGTTGAATTTACTATTATAAAAGGAATCGTAGCTCGAAACTACACACATTTAGCCTAATTAAGCTGGCTCAATCTTTAATCTTAACTTTAGCTAGCAAACAGCTAATGCCGAAATATTAACTGGCATATCTGAGAGATAGAAACATAAAACTGCAAGTGTAACTGCCAAATGCTCAATATCTAAAACATTCAAAAGCCTTGATTTCAATAATATTTAATCTCATTTGCAACCTGATGAGCCTGATGAGGGCAAACGAAAAGAAGTTACAGTTCAGATCGAATTCCCCGAAATTTGTTAATTAACATAAGATAATTTATAATTAGTGTAAGATGTGAAACAAACTTTTGACCCAGCACTTGTAGGTAAGAGCTACAGAGAAAGTCTGTAAACTGAAAGTCGATATTTAACTTTTAGAGTCAGGCATCTTATCTTGCATAATTTTTAATTTTCATCCTTAAAGCAATACATCTGGATTAACTAATCAACTATTAAAAACTTTCGCCTTACAATTTAGGAAGGCATCGAACGCCAGTATCATACCGACTTCCTTTCAAAAGCAGCTATCAAAAACTTTACATTAATAATTGTCAATGGCGAGAAATTCTGGTTAGTATTCTCTTTTGGGGAGCATAATAAGTTACAGTTACCTTTCACAAAAATTTCGGGCAAATCATTTGCATAACATTACGGACTGAGCAAATATCTGTTATTTGAATGAAAATAAAATAAGCTAGTGAACATTATTGCCAATAGAACTTAAAAATAAATATTACAGTAATACCTGTAGTTCATTTCTTAGATTACTAATTTTGTGTAGTAAAACTTACAATTACATAAATTCATAATACGTATATTAAAGAAATTAAAATATCGATGTAAATCCAGTATTTAAAGCCATTTTATGACATTCAAAATTGCATATGATGTGCTGTTGTCGTAACTGCAGCAGATAAAAATACGTAGGTAACTCTAAATGTTTTTAGAGGCAAACTATATGCGCTAAAATAAGATTATTTGTGAGATATATGCTCGCAGAAAATAATTATATTATTGTATTCAGGAATTTAAACTGGCATTCCACTGCTATGTTTAAGCAGCGTTTTCCTGTTATCTCACATTATCCCTTAAACTTGCGCCTTAAAGATTGAAATTTCCAGAGGAGATACAGATACTTGGACAATAATTTGTAGCAACAGTTACAATTTGTCTATCGTAAGATGAATTTTGAAAGAAAGGAAAGTGAAGCTGACTTGACACCGTTATCGTGTTATGATTTTCTATGATTTTAATGGTGTAGTTAAATCGAAAAGAATGCCTTCAAAGTCTACAGTTATGGAAATGAAGCTCCATCTCTTGCCATTGTATTCAGATGGTTTACAGAATTTCGTGAAGGTCGAAATTCTATCCTGGATGAATAATACAAAGGAAGACTTTCGTCAACTGCAGTCCTAAGAAATGTGCTGGTCATACAAAAAATTTTAATCAGTGATAATCGCTTTACCTACCAAATGTACTTACATTGGACCTGCAGCTGTATATAATATTTTGTTGTTGGATTTTCCATAAATTAATCGAATCGTGAAGCATGTCCGAATCAGTTTAAAAAATTACTTAAAGATAATGGACACCCCCTTATTTACAAAATTATAACTAGAGATGAAATAAATATACTGTCTTTGGCGTTCTAACATGTCACGAATTTATAGGTTTTTGAAAGGGATCCGAAATCAACGATGATGAAAGGACAACGAGCAATAAAAAAAAGTAATATACACTATTTTCTTCAGAAATACAGGACTGGTCAAAGCCATCAAATTAGAGGGACAGAAGACAATAACAGCTAACAGGTTTACCACTGTCTTCTAGTATTTTATTAAGAATTGAAAATTACAGGACTTAGGCTTCACCGTAATGCATCTTCGCTTTAAGAAAGACTGGCAGTTTAATTTTCTGAACAAATCATATTAAAGTGATCGATCATCCACCCTGTTCTCCTGATCTTGTTATATGTGATTTTGGGCTGATTTTAAACGAAAACAAAATTTGAATGGCCGTCGTTTTCCTTTCAAAGAGCAGATTTATGAGACTATACAAACGCAGTTTTGATCGATTCCAAAAATTAGATGGCTTAAAGCATTTAATTTTGGGAAAATTCATTCAAGAAAGTACATTGATGCTGAAGGTAATTGCTCCTATGATTTGGTAATTTTAACTTGTACCATTTTGTAGTATCTCGAAACTTTCAGAGTGACCCTCGTATTAATCTTACGTATTTAAAAGAAACATTAAAAACATTAAAAATAAAATCAATTTTATAACTAATTCACATAACTGATTTTATCTTACTAAATAATAAAGAGTTATATTGAGACATAACGCTTAATAAAGTAATTAATGACATTTTTCTTTTTTTTTTCCAAAATGTTAAATCAAACGTAAAATGTATTAATATCGATTTGAAAGTTTAGTTACAAGTTTTAAACCAAAAATGTGTATGTTATGAATAAAGTGAAAGAAAATCATTTATATTGATTTATAGCTTTCCATAACAATACCTTACCTTTTCTTTTCCCAATTACTTAAACCTTGCTAAATGAAAGCTTCAGATTATAAACCTACTTTTTTCCCCTAAATTTCTGAATCCATGCCTCAGAAAAGTAATTGACTTTATTTCTTTTCTACCACGCAACCTTTAATACGAGTTTACCCTCAAGGGCAAAACCAATTTGTAATTTGCAATTGAGACTTGAAAAAAAGCAGAGTTTTCCATTTCTTTTGATGTTTAAGATGTTCTTCAACTTAAAACGATTCAATTTTTATCCACCAGGTAAATCCTTAGGGATTTCTCGTAACATGATGCTGTCGCGAACCAATAATGAACGAAGCAATATTTCTTCCTCAGTGGCTTACACTAGAGCACTGTGCTCTTTATCTTATTTGATGATTGAAATACCTTTGCGATTCACAATTCAGTAATTTTTTAGTTTTTAGCTGCGTTTATAACGTGGATTCGTGATGCATAATGAATAAATATCTTTTCTTTTAGTTTTACACTGAGGTTTGCTGGTGAGAAATGGAAAGCTTTCAAACTGAATATTACAATTATAAACGGAAAATTAATGTACATCAGAATAATAACGTTGACTTTTTATTGTTTAGATTTAACTGATCGATATTTTTATTGATTCTTATTAAGTACCGTACTTCCTCACGTGTTTTTAGTCCAAACGTTTTAACACCGTGCTCTGAAAATTATAAAATTATTTGTGTAATTTCCGCCTTTCTAAATGCGTTCACAGAACAAGCTGCTTTAAATTTTAAATGGATTCGTCCACTCAATGACAGTTTCCGTTTTACTAACATAGATAAGTTCTCGAAAATTACCAGCGAATGTCACTCCGAACCTTACCCTTCCAACTGTTGAACTCTATGTTAGCCTCATACAAGAACCAACCAATGACTGCGAAGCAAACTCAAACTAATAAACAGTCTGCGATTTTGTTATGTCAGCTGCACATTTAGGAACAAATGTGCCAGACGTATCGCATTGACAAAAAGGTACCGCCAAAAAACTTATTTAGCTTAATGTTCGAAATGTAAACAAAAGATATTAAATAATTAAAACAGTTAAGACCAAGTGCACTTACCATTCTAAAAAAACGAAAACGATGTTAGAACATCGGTAAAAATAGAAAAAATTCATTTTTTGACGTAAAGAACAGTGGAAATAAGAAAGTAACCAAAGGAAAGTATACAAAAACTCCTAAACTGGTTACTTGGGTTGCCATACGAAACAAAATCTGGGCAATATTGCATGGATAAAATACCATACAAATAATTGCTAACTTTGGCGGGCTGTGCGTCTGGTAAATATGTGCCCACTTTCGATTTCTCTAATTATTTATGGATGGTTTGAGGCCCAAGAAGTTGCAAGGACAACAATAAGAACGGAGAATATTCCAGTTACAAGGAGGTAGAAATGAAGATCTTATTAGATATTTTAATATTACTATGCATTCTTATTGGAATGAAGGATTCTTTTAAAGAAATAATAGTGTGATAATTACCTGTAGTATATACATGACTATATTTCATTTGTTATGCTCTATTTATTATGTTCTCACTGCAGGCGCTTCTTTCGAATACGTTAATGCCATAATTTTTCTCCTCTTGAATTCGGACGATTAAATTATTAAAAGAAGGGGGCAAATTTAAGCAAGAAAACATGGTATATAATTTCTTCGAAATAATGATAAAAGGTGTACATGTAATGTCTTTTGTAGAAGATATAGCGAATATTATTTTTTTAATACAGCATGAAGTGTTATCTAATGCTAGATATCCGTATTTACAGTTAAAACAAGTCGAAGAATATATGGCATATCGAAAATTACATCGGGATTTACGCACCCGTATAACAGACTACTTTGAACACCGGTACCAAGGGAAGTTCTTCGACGAGGAGATGATCCTTGGCGAGTTATCCGAAAGACTTAGAGAAGTAAGTTTATTTACTTTTTTTTTATTTAAAGAAAAAGAAATCCTCGTGCACCAGAAAGTATCACAAATAACTTACTTACAAATCGTAAGTAAAAAAATGCAAAATTGTAAGTAATAACATCAGTTTTCAATAACAAAATGAAATCATACACAAAGAAAACAAAAACAAAAAAACGTTTGTTTACTTGATCACTGAAATAATATAATATGGCATAATAAAAAGTGAAATTCATGTTTCTATTAATTACAATTATTTAAATATAAATAAGCAAAAAAAATTTTTTAAGAAACGTGCATTCTTAATTAGCGTCGACAGTTTTACTTTATATTTTGAATATTTTTAGGTATTAATGCTTTGTTTTCAGATCTGCTTAGATTGCACATTCCTAGCACATAACTCGGTGAATAACAACCTTGATTTTATTTGTGTATATGAACCACTCTCAAAATATTGTGCAGATATAAGTATACGAAATAAGATGCATTTATATGCAATATTCTTAAAATTTTTAATGTTTTAGTCCATGAAAACTTTCTTGTTTTTACCTACTTTTTTTTTCCATTAAAATTTAATACATAAATGTATCACTGGATGATCTGCATACAATTTCGTAAAAAATTATATCTAAATATAACTCAATTATATTTAAATTGTAAAACTTAGTGTTTCCTTTATATATCTGTGTGTGCGCATATATGTATATAAAGGAAGAACCAAAGAACAGACCCACCAATACCTGGGTGGTTAAGGCAGCTGAACATGAGCGGTTTGCCCTGAATTCACAGCGAATGGACTGGATGCATGGGTGTTTTTGTGGTTTTCCTTGAGTGTAAATGTGGAGAAGAGTCAGTTTCCCTTACAACACTCTCCACGAAGGCATCTCTGCCCTTAGGCAGATAACTCTCGTGTGTTATGATGTATTCAAATTAGCTAATCTAACCGTTACAGGATAACAATTACCAAACTACTTTCCATAGAAAGACAGAAAAGACTGTTAGAAAGATATATGCGCCAACGTTGCTTATCAGCCACTGTTAAAAATTAATGCATTCTTATCTTTTAGAACAGTGATCTTGGTTTTAAAGAAAGTATTGCCAATAAAAGCTGCTTTCGTCTTGAATATAGCAGGGTGTCTTCTGATCCTTGAATGCAGTGATTAGCAAGTAATATCTGTACGGTATGGGAGCATTTAAAATACCTACAAATCGAAAGTTATGTTGATAGAACTGGAGGCAAAGGAAGAGGCATGAGAGATCCTCGGGCCAGTATTGCAGGGTATTATTTAGGAAATTGTGATGAATCTGTGCACTAAGTGCGGTAATATTATACCTTGGGGATGTTCCGCCCAGTTCCTTCTATTCTGTCTCTTCAATAAAGTTTTTAAATAAAGTTTTTAAAGCGTATTATTTCTTAGTCGTGCTTTGCTTATGGAAATAAATATTCTATCAGATATATTTATTATGTTTAGAAAATTTTTTTTACAAGTCAGTATTGAGTAGGCAGGGCTTTTTCTTTAGAGATACAGGTATATTTCTACATTTGCAATACTCTGATGTCGAAAGCGTATTTTCTCGCTGGAAGTATCAAGTTGGAGAATACACCTTTCTAAAGGAAACTGTATGTAAAAGATCCTATAATGTAAAAGATCTAAAAATTTCCTTAGCTATTTTATTTTCAAAATGAATCATACAGAACGACAGCCATAAATAAGATTTAAGATTACATTTAATTACACCAGTTCAGTGGCATCCTATTTACTGTTTTGGGGGCCTTTTAGAACTCAGAATTTGACAAATGTTGATTCACGGACCCTCGACAACCCCAAAACAAAATTTTCATGATATACTATTTAAGTCATACGGCCAACTAAGAATTCAGATATTTTTATCTTGTTTCTTACGTTTAGGTTGATCACATAAATTTATTCTCGTTCGAGCTAAATTAAAAGTAATTTAGGATTACGGGTTTCAGGCTCTTTTTACCTTTGAAGAAGATACGTGATCAAAACTAGACGTATGAGCATGATTATTAATATGTCATTCACCTCAAATCAAATTTACAAAATATTTTTTAAAAACTACAGAAATTTTACTTTTCTCAGTGGACATGTAAATGTCTTTACATTGAAGAATAAACGTTTAAGAATAACTTCTTTTGTTACAATGTAAGTAAACTTCTTCTGTTACAATGTAAACGATTTATTGCAGTTTGTGATATTTGACTAATAGTTAGTGCATTTTTTATGTCTCGTTTCGTCACATATTGTCTCAACCCAAAGTGTTATGGTTATCAAATGGATCTTATAAACATAACTAATATTAAATGGCCTAAGGACACTATGGTTTTAAGATATCACTAACGTATCATTCAAGTTTATAATCTCTATATCCTATACTAAATTCTGACCTTTGAAATGTGAAGATTAAACTTATCTTTAAAAACTTATCTTTTTAAAACTTATCTTTTTAATCTTATAAAACTTTATTTTTTCACACCTGGTGATTTTTAACTTAAAATAATACTGGGCAAAATTAAAGTCTTTTTGACACAGAAGCTTGCTGAACCGTACAGTGTACTAAATGGGTTACACTCTCAGTAAAACTATGCAAAGATACAGCACTAACTAGTCGGAAAAACAAATCTTAGCAAATATTTAATTCTTATCAAACGTGCCAACGTCAAAATTTCACTTCTATCCTGCAATCAGCTGTTTTTCTTTCTACAAGTAAGCGGCAGCAGCCAGGTCTCTATTCTAAATTATGACAGTTACGATTCTTCTTTTCATTGTAACATTCACCATTTGCATAACTCTTTGGGTTGAGACAATATGTGACAAAACGAGACAAAGAATCTACTAACTATTAGTCAAATGTCACAAACTGCAATAAATCGTTTACATTGTAACAAAAGAAGTTTCAATAAGAACTGCGGTTATGAATGCAAGTATCAACGATATCAGTGGCAGAAGGAAAATAACGTAGGATTAACAGCATAGCGGGGAATAATCGAGAGGGAGATTTAGTATTATCAAGCATGTTAATTAAAGTAGATAAATCAAACATTTTCTTATTATGCAGATAGTAAATTAAAGATTACGGATTCCTATTTTCATTAAGAAGTGAACTAATCCTGCTTAAAAAACTGCATAGAGCAGATTAAATTTAAAAATCAGAATAAACCAGGTACAGGTACACGTAGAAGTGGACGGATAACAGAAATTCAAAATTGGTCCCACCGCACTAATTATGCCCTTCTGCCCCAATTTTGAAGGCGAACACCACTGGTTCAGGGAATGGTCCAGAGATCTCTCAACCCTCTTCCCTTAATAGCAATTTGTCAAGACGCGAATCACCATTTAACTCAATTGTAAACTGACATAAACCCGAGGAAAGGGAAATAAGAGTTTAAGGAATAATAGGAAAACTACGCCGCAAAACACCACCAGGATCTGTCTTAAATATGTCTGCAAGTAAATAAAAAATGCAGATTTTCAGATATAATCTGATAGCAATCGCAGAAAAATTTTCAGCTCTCAAAGAAAGATTAATAGATACATTCTCTTAGAGGAAATAACTGAATGAGTGAACACAAGCAGAAATAAATGAGATATACAACTGGACCTGATTCGAATATTTTTTTTGGATTTTTTCGTATGTACAAACTTATCATAAATTATAAAATAATAATTCTTTTTGCATGTTCTCTGCGAAAATTATATGAATAAATATCTTCTTCATGTTTCGTTAAATAACGAGAATTTCTGATTTTTACTCTAAACTTCTACTCCGAAATAGACTTCAAAGAAAACAATTCATAAATTACTTAGCAAAATATGCATACGTGAAATGTATGTATGCAAATGGGCAGATCATTTGAATTGCATGGCCCCAAAAAGAAATCGGTTAACAAATAGAAAGGAAATATAGCGATGCAAAATAAAATTTATGCCTCTCAACATAACTAAAAAATGTATTACTGTAATTAATAGTTATGTAATGGTTTCCTAAACTGAATTTAGGATTTAGTAACTGATTTTTTCTAAAATAAGTATTTTGTTCTTCACAGGACGTTATCAATTACAACTGCCGTTCGCTGGTGGCATCGGTTCCGTTCTTCGCGAATGCGGACCCGAACTTCGTAAATGACGTCGTCACTAAGCTAAAATATGAAGTATTTCAGCCGGGTGACGTCATAATCAAAGAGGGCACACTCGGCACTAAGATGTACTTCATTCAAGAGGGCATCGTTGACATCGTCATGAGCAATGGCGAAGTTGCCACCAGTTTGTCGGATGGCTCTTACTTTGGAGGTAAATACAAACGTTTAAGAAAATAATATCGGAATATTTCCACATTATTATGCATTGTATTGTTAAACATTACACATCTTGAACGTATTTGATTTCCATCTGAATATGATTCTGTACCTCAGATGAACTCATCAACTGATGTCTATGTTTTCCATAAAATCTTGCAACCTGTCAAAATGTATATATACGTATATAAATGTATTTTACGCATACAATACGGCCTAGAATATTTTTAACGTCTTCAGATAAGTATATGTACTTTCATTTTGAAGCATGTCAAAGAAATGAAAGTCGTATATTTAAAGAAAACGATGCCACGTGTAAAGTGTCAGAGGTATATCAAGAAAGTGCATTATTCCCATGGTAATTTTGAGGAAAAAATGGGGTTTCAAAGATAAACTTCTTCTTATCTGGCATTCACGCTGAGTACTGCAGTGAGAGGAGAAATGAAAGTCAAATGAAAGTCGTTTCTATTGATTTTTTTAATGTCGTAGAATTTTGAAAATTCTGCGATATATGTACTTTAAACGCTAAATGCATGAATTTAGGATTTTTTAGTTTAGAGATACAGGTATATTTCTACATTTGCAATACTCTGATGTCGAAAGCGTATTTTCTCGCTGGAAGTATCAAATTGGAGAATACACCTTTCTAAAGGAAACTGTATGTAAAAGATCCTATAATGTACTATCCTATAATGTAAAAGATCCAAAAATTTCCTTTTCCAAAAATGCAAAATTTTTCTACATTTGCAATACTCTGATGTCGAAAGCGTATTTTTTAGTAATTCATAGAAGGGATATTAAAATTTAAGAAAGATTTTTCAAACTGTAAAAATATGATTACATTAAAAATCTTTAACAAAATCCATTAAAATTTAAACTTTACTGATCATCGAATGCAAATGAAAAGGCTCAATGCATTTTGATAGACAAATAATGCTCTCTTCTTCTGTTTCTGCAAAGAGATAGCTGGTTTTAAGAAGACGATATATTTTGTTTTACGTACAATACATTTAGAGTTCTCATTTAAAATAAATCTTATCAAACATTTAATTTAGCTTAATTATTCACAACATTCGATGATGTTTTCTTAAAACAGAGTTTGTAAATTAATTAATAGTTGTTTAGGCACATGAGCATGCTTATGTCTTTCATATTACAGGAACTTAGGCTGGTAAACGCAGAGTTTGTCCGGAAAGTAGTAAAAATGAATTTGTTTTTTAAATTGTTCACAGTTTTGACACATCGACTTAATAGTTTCAAAATATGCCCCTTCTGCATCAACAGAGCATTTTCAGCGACTCTGCCAATCACTGAAGGCTGCCTGGAACGCAAAATCTGGAATTTTCTTTAGCTGCCTCTATATGGCTTCTCGAATGGCCTAAACCGAGCAGGGGTGCCGTCGTTTCATGACACTTTTCAGTCAGGGGAAGAGGAAGAAGTCTCAAGGAGCAATTTCTGGGATATACCTGTACCTGAAAGAGAAAAGGAGTTTCCAGCGTCCATCCAGCAATTGCTGCATCATGGAAGCTCCACCACGACAATGTCATGGCCACAGCGCCTTTGATGTCATGGACTTGCTTGCCAAATATGGCATCATAACAGCTTCCCCAGCCAACCTAGATGTCACTCCTTCAGACTTCTTCCCCCGACTGAAAAGGGCTATGAAAGGACGGCACTACGTCTCGGCCCAGGCTATTCAAGAGGGGCCGTAACGAGAAAACTGAAAAGCATTCCAATTTCTGCGTTCCAAGGAGCCTTCAGTGATTGGCGGAGTCGCTGGAAACTCTGTGTTGATGCAGAAAGGATGTATTTTGGAAACTTATCAGGACTTGTGTTCCTCTTTACTTGCTTTGGAAACATGAACTGTCCTGACTCGGAACAGGGAGCTTACTCAAGCTATGTTCAATAAATTGTGAAGTAGACAATACACACAGGAAGGGTATACGAAACCCTTTATTTGTCTATCTTTACAGATTTTTCCGGAACTTCGGAATACAGAGACCAACCACTTGTGGTCTGAACGTAAGAATATAAAACTACTAACTAAAACTCTACTAAAACTAACTTTGGATTAATATACAAGTGCCTAACTTTAAGATTGGCCGTTATTTAACAAAATCCGTATGTAGTACAGAGAGGCTGCTAAAACTACGATACGTTTGAAATTATCAAGAGGACTAAACCTCTGGCCTTGAAGGCAACCAGCAACCGAGTAAAAAACTACTATGGCAAGCGGCCCGCTTCTAATAACTCCTTCTCTCTCTCGCTTGGCAAAAAGCCACACTTAAGTACTTGGCGTTAGCAAGACAAATTTGCATAAATAAGTTAAAGCTTTTAATTCTGGCCGGAAGTAGAAAATAAGAAGTGATAGTAAAGATTTAAAACAAAATAAACGTTAGTAAAACTTAGGATCCTTACAAACAATTAAGTCGATATGTCAAAATTGTGAATATTGTTTTTAAATTTATTCCTACTACTTTCCGGACAAGCCCTTAGTTCAATGGTGTGATAAATTGCTGTAAAATATAGTATTTAGCATTAGAACGCAAATTAATTTTAGAATAAACTTCATCTAACGTATATCCAGTAATTTTCTTATTATTTCTGAATTTAAAAATTATCAAAATTGTTCTAAGCATATGAATGCCATGCAAATTGCGTATGATTACACGTAAATATAACGTAGGTAAAACTGAAAACGTAACCGATTTGTGGTTTCTTCCCTTTTTCTGAAAAAAAAAAACGATATGGAAAGGATATTGCATTTCAATAAATATGCGCTAATTCTGTAAGAGTATCCGTAACCGATTAATATTCAGATAGATAAGAAAGCACAATTAACCACTTATGCAATAACTTAATATTCCATTATCGGTGGTTCTTTATTCTATTGGCACAAATAAAGACACTTTCCTTTAACTAAATCTATTTAATGAAGAGAAGCCTATGTACAAGTATTATATACAGAATACAGGATATCTAGTTTATACCACTCTTATCAATCTCTCAACTCCCTCTGGTGAAAACTCTTCATTAGCTAAACCATACGGGCGGCGCAGCGGCCTCTATCTCTTTTTCTACATCACTCACTGCAGCAAAGTGTTTATTTATTTCTAAAATGACAATCAGATCCCAAATCTATACAAACTTTTATGTAAACGCAAAATATAATTTGATAGTTAAATATATGTTAGTTAATAAATTAGTTAAATATGCAATAGTCATTATAAAAACAGAAAAATATATTAAGCTCATATTAAAATTACAAAATTATGAATATAAAAGCAATTTTATTCAAATTAGGTGTATTTTGTGTTCACTTTCCATTTGTCTTGTTGAAAAGACGATCAAGTTACCGTTTATTGATCTTAAAAGGTAAAATTCTTAAAATTCATCTTCAAAACAAGATGAGCATGTAATGTAAATTATAACTCTATTTCTCTGTTTCTCTGTTTCTCTGTTTTTATTTTAGGTACTTTTATTACTATAATTTCCTCTATAAAAATCTTCTAATTGTTTCTACGATTTACTTTCCTATACAAAAATCTTGTAATTGTTTCCATGGTTTTCTATACGTAAAGAGTGCAATTTGAGAAATCGGATAATAAACATTTAGAAAATAATGGAGTCACTATCTTATACCATGTTTTATTTCCATGATGAAGTGAGCTAGTAATACTTTACTTCTTCCATTTATAATGCAAATAGCGGAAATTTTATCACCGTTTCAGAAAATGATTACCGTTTTGCATTATTACTTTTTTTTTTTTTTTTTCAGTTTTTCTTTAGCTACCGGGAATAATTTCTCCATTTTATAAATTAATTTTAGGAACCGTACTTGTGTGACATTGGTTTTTTATGCTTTTACATAAAGCATTTCAGTACTTTTAATATAAATAATGCTTACTTTTCCCCTCTATAAGTGACTTTTAGAAAATCTCCTTAACTGACTTTTAGAGAGCCGTAAGTAAATAATTATAGCAGGAAATATCGAAATGATTATTTATATGATTAATAATTACTATTATTTTTCCTTCTAGAAATCTGCTTGCTGACGAACGCCCGGCGAGTCGCGAGCGTTCGAGCTGAGACTTACTGCAATCTGTTCTCTTTGTCGGTGGAACACTTCAACGCCGTCCTCGACTTATACCCGCTGATGCGAAGGACGATGGAGTCCATAGCTGCGGAAAGACTCAACAAAATAGGCAAGAACCCGAGTCTAGTTTCCAACAGAGAAGACCTACAGACAGACCTAAAGACGGTCAGTCTGTTGCTGCAGAGTGCCCAGAGCGACTCGGACGACTCCAACAAAGGAGGCGGCCTCCTGTCCATGGGCGGTCATTTGTCCGTGGCGAGGGGGATGCCCAGACCCAAGTCCGAGAGCTGCTTTCCGCGGATGGACCTGGGATTTCCGGACAATTCCGCGCCCGGATCCATGCACAGGTCCGAAACCTTCTATCAAGCCACAAGTTTGCCCAACACGGAGCAGGTTTTCCAGTCCATGTTCCAAGCATGAAGTCAAATTAATTACCTCCACTAGTGACATCAACCAATAATATTTGCATGAGCAAACTCAGAAACACCCGCATGTCGCCGCCGATTGCGTGCAGACAATTCAATGGGTGCAACTACATTAGTATTATTAAACGTCATTCTTTTAACAAAATACTTAGCACCCAGAGTTTGAAAATCAGAAAAAGAAGATATTCACGTGGTCTTCAACCAGTTCTTCCTATTACCTACCGAATGGATTATCAATCCAAGCACTAATAGTCTAACTGTTAATATTATGCTGATTGCGTTCAAAACTATTTTAGAACGATTTGTTGCAAAGCAAAAATTGTGAAATTTTAGTGTTAAAAAATAACATTTTCTCAATATGAGATTAAACTTTAATCCTTTATAATTCAGGAAGCTGTTCAGTTCATGTACTATGATTTATTTTAGATGATGTTTTAAATTACTATTGCATACAAAAATTTTCAAGGAACTTGGTTTACATTTTGAAATATGAAAAAAATATGTAAATTTAAAATTGCTTGTCAAATCCATCATTAAGCTTTTTATAATCCCCAATATACTTAAAAAATGCAGAACTGTATCTTATTTTTTTGACTAACTGTTTATGAGAATTTTGTACTACACTGTGTTGTGTCACACCGAAAATGTAAAGTTCTTAAAATAACTAAGTTTGTGAACAATTCATGAAATTTCATATTTCAGATTATCAACAAATTCTTTTAGCGCGAATGCTCTTTAGACTTCAGGAAGCTGTAATTTAAATTAAGTTTTTATTAGCATTTAAGTTATTTAAAATTATATCGAAACGTCATACTAAAGTATCAGAAAATTTTCGATGAGAATAATGCATGGCATTACTCCAGAGCTCGAAACTTAATAGCAATGCCTTAACCTTGAAGTTTCGAAAGCGCACTAGAGGAGTGCTATCATTCATTAAGTATGAAGACTGGAGCGTAATCGAGCTAATATTCATGTGAAGTTAGATCCATCGTTAGCGGAACTTCCGCAGTGCTTAGTGAAATCCCAGTTAATTAGAGCCTCGTTAACCAAACGATGATGATTAGCCGGATTAATGCCTTCTAGATTGTTGATCCTTGAAGAGAAAGGTTATGAAAAGTGTTAAAATGATTAAAAAGAAACCAGCATTCTTTTAGGTTTGTGGTTATGAGTTTGAACCAATATGGGATCATTGTACTGGGGTTTTGCAATGAAAATTATATAAATTTGAAAATGATGTAATTATTTTTTAACTTTCTAAATGGACCAAAGTTTTATAGATTTTGCTAAAAGTATTTACATTTATCCAACTATTTTTGTTAATTAATTTTATTAATAAGCACAAAAAAGATTAATTTTATAAAAAATGGAGAGGCTAGTAGTTTTATCATTGCGCATCGTGAGATGAACTAAAAATTAAACTACGTTTTAATTTGTATCGTAAGTGAATTTACTTAACACACGAAAATTCTAGAAAATAGGATATAAATATCAATTTATGAAAAAATAATAATATATAATGTTCTAATAATGAAGGTTATAATGATAAATTTTCAACATTAAAGTACCATACATCATTGTTCGACTGCCTTCCAGAATGGGATAGACAAGTGACGACCCGTTTAAAAAGACGGCAGCAATTAAATCAGATATTAGATGGTATTATTTGAAAGGTGTAAGAGGAGAAATAAAATGCCAGTATATTTGAAATTAGCTTCATTTTTACTTTTGATATCTTTGCTGAAATAATTATTTATGAACTGTAGTTTTTAATTTTAATTAACTAGGACAATATACCCTTTATATAACTTAAGATCAGTTGTTTTTATGCGTTTTTCCTCATTATATTAAAACAAATAATAAACAAATCGTTCTAAAGTAGTTATTCTGAAATCAAGAACGCGTCCTATATATGCAAGTAGTGTGGTATGTATTATATGGCTGTATTGAAGTATGCTACGCTTTTAGGAAAAATAACAAATTTAAATATCAAGATTGTGATAACTAATATATAATATGACGTTAACTACAGAACTGTTGTTGCAGTTTAAATTAGGAAATTTTATTTACATATACAAATACTTAAACTGTTCATGCAAAAAATAATCAATTTAATGATTTAAATGTTACATTTATGTGTTGTATAAAAAATACTTTTTTTAAATATTAGTACTGATAGTTAGACAGCTATATGTGTAACTAAATTACAAGTAATTAATGAAACTAATGAAAATTTATAAAATTAATCTTTGAATAGTTTTGTAGTTATTAATTACAAAGTATTCTGATGTATTCAAGTCATTATATCGTTTTCTGTTGCATAATTACCTTCTTCAAATGTTATGAAGTTGTATTTTAATAACAGATTTAATCATATTTTTAACCAGCTGATGATCAGTTTAAATAATTAAAAGTATTCCAGACAATTACTCTGTGCAAGAGGTACGTCATTAAGCTCAAAAGCTTCGCTTATAAAACTAATCAGAATCAATGACTATTTGCAAAATGACTTCTTTGTAAGCTGCTCGTCTTCACAAATTCTACATTAGGTACATTAGAGATCCACAAATGGCGGAAATGTAGAAAAATTGAAGTTTTTGGACTTTTATTGCTAGTATAACACATCTAGGCCAGAGTAAATAATTGTTTGAAATATTTTTACAAAGAAGAAACATAAGAGGCATACTTCCACATTTAATCGATTATTCTAGCTCTAAAATTCAGAAGTTTTAGTTTTCTCGAATGTTAAATTTATGCACAGTAGTAAATTTAATATATTATAAAATTTAAATAACAACATTTTCATGTAAAGGGAGTTTCATCGCCATTAAAGTTGTAAATGTTGAAGGGCTAAATTACAGTTAGTACTCATAATAATTTTCTATCTCCAAACTAATCATTTTACAAATGCTAAATTCAAAATTAAGGCAGAAAATGTTTTAAACCTTTAGAATTGTGCCTCTTAGTTTTTCTCTCTCATTAATTTTACACTTTTTTACTAAAAAATATGAAGCATAAGTTGCTGGTAGGAAAATTATTTCAGAATTTGAATCGATAATTTTAAGTCATGTGTGCGAAGCGTCAACTAAATCCTGGTTTCCTTTCTATCGAGCTTCTTCTTCATTAGTCCAGGAATTCTCAACTTGTCCCATTTCCAACAAAAGTGTTGGGAGCTCGCCTATAAATTATTAATTTTCTATTGTATATACAGGTCTCATGCTAAGAAGTAGTTTATTAAATTAATAAGTAGTAAAAATCAAAATCATTTTAAAGTGTACAGTAAATAGATTCTCCCAAAAAATTACTTTGTTTTCCCTTTGAAAACTATCTATCCTCTAAAAGCTGTCTTATCTTTTCTTGATAACGTAAGGTAATTTCGAGAATGGGAAATACAGGAAATTAGCTTTACTTGTTTGCACTTACTTAAAAACGCTACCAATTTAAATTCATTTCTTCCGCTTTTCGTTTTGTGGAAAAATTTACATCACTTCCATAATATGCAAATACACCGGAATTTTTACATTTTAACAAAAGCAGTGCAAACCATCAAAATAGCAAAAGTCCTTCAATTTTTTCCTAATTCAATGATGTTATTGTTAAGAAAGACAACTTATTCCTTTTTAAAACACCAGAAATATATCGATTAAGCATGGTTGAATTAAAACAGCTAAGTACTGTGAATATTCTACAGCTAAGTATTGTGAATATTCTATTTAATAATTCTATGAAAAATTATTCGATTGAAAAATTTAGAGCTATTATCAATTTATTGTGTGATAATTTTAAAATTGAATAGTTCAATATTTTCTATTCCAATAACTAATATTTTGCTCAAAATAACAATTTATTTTACATTACACTTAATTCGATATCTTAATTCAATAGTTTCAACTAATAATTGCAGAAAACTTAAACCTTTATGAGCATCAAAAGAGCAAACTATTCGGTATTCATGTGCCACAGTATTATAACTCTTTTACTATTATTATATTCATTTAGTGATAATTAAACGGAAAGTAAAAATTTAAAAATAAATAAACAATTGTTATTCAAAAACACAATCTACGATAGCTGTTCAACCTTCGTAGAGTCTATGACCTCTCTGCATACGCGTGATTAATCCGCCAATTGTATTTTATCACAGTTCAGTGCATGGCTGCATATAGCTCAGAGCCATTTCTCTCAACATACATCGAGGTTAGCATTCTAGGCAAACGAATACGTTTTTGTGAAACACATTGTGCTGCGATTTAAGACGTATGCAGTAGGCAATCAGACAAAATTTGTCCCCATACTGTAAGCCAAATGACATGGAATAATAGCTTATTAGTTTTGGTTTTGATATTAAATCTGGAATCGAAAGCCTCCTAAATGTTTTTATTGCAATTATTATCCTTTATCATAGATTAGAATGATTCCATTTCAACTTCTTCATAAGGTTGAGAATTGCTGCATTAGGTGTTTTAAACAAATGCACCAAATAGTGCCATGGATTTAGTTGCGCATTCTAACAATCAGAAATCATCGTGTCATTCCGTTGCAAAGCACTCACGTGATATCTGTACGGCTATTAAGGCTGTTCAGCAAGCGCATAGTAATAGATGCTGCAAGTTATATTTTAACAAGGAATTGTAATTCCAAGCATTGCTTGCTAGGCCTTAAAAAGCAAATCACCCGTGCCCTGTACTGTTTGTTAATATAACAAACACTATTGTTGTAGTCCAACAAGCAAAAATGTTATTATAATGATAGTGATAATCAGGAGAGTCAGAAATATAATCGAGCACTTGTAGTATCCCTTAGTGGGCCACCATGTAGCTACTATGCAGTTTTCTGTAGTGAGTCAAGCCAGCAATTAAATGTAGGCTTTGGTGTATTAGTTAAGATGTGACAGTAAATAGGGGTACGAATAAGATTTTAGTTTGTAAAGAGGAGAAGAATAGTGTAATAACGTGAGAAAGAATTTCAACATTTTTGATTTCTTGAGAGTAAATATTTTTGCTTGTATATCTTGAATTTTATTCGTAAAAATTTGCCAAAGAAATATAATTCTACTGAGGAATATTCTAATAAAATTAAAAATAGATGCAACTTTAGAGTTATATCTTTATCATAAAGTACAACTCTAAAATCGTTGAAAATTTTACTTTCCCTGAAATCTGAATAGACAGTTTCCTCAACACATTTTATTTAAACGTAAATCAACTATATATTTTAGTACAAATAGCAAAATCGATTAATCTTTTAAATTTAGTTTTAAATTTATTTTCTAAATTGATTGGAAAATAAAAGCAATTAATATTCTCAAAAACGTTATCATACAGAAAATTGTATCAGCTATTTTAACATATAATAAACAATGGAAATATTTACATTATATACGTTTATAGTAAGTTTAGCTTCTTTCTGAAATATATATTTGTAATGTATTTATATAATTAAAGCATATCCATATCTGTCATATACAGAAATAAAAATGTATTTGCTAAGTTTTGAATTAAACAAATTAATTTATTTTAACAATATTATATGCAATTAAAATATCAGTTTCATACTTTGCAAAGCATTTTTCCGTATTTTTAGATATGTATCTTTTAGTATTATAAATATTGCTTATTAATGTTTTACTTGTTCTTGATGTCGTTTTACAGTAATGTCCAGCATGCATTTTTCTGTCATTCTTATTCAGCATGTTTTTCAATGGTGCGTGTTTTTTTTAATCAACTGAATTAAATAATCCCTAAAACCAACGAAGTAATGTTAATTCTTTCATATTGAAACAAATTTTATTAAAGGCTGCAAGTCCTTTGAAAGCTGCTTAAGCGAAAAATATAATTAAATGAAAGGACAGAATGTTATGAATCTTCACATAATAAAATTTTTTTAAGTCATATGAAAACAAAATTCTAATGTTATTTATTATTCGAAAATGTAAAAACAATGATTCTGAAAAATTTTGCAAGTGCATTTTTAAATCGCACTTTTGTTTTATTTAAATCATTATTACACTTTAGTTTCTGAACAGCAACTATGATCCTTTTTTTAAATAAATATAAAAACAAAAACTAAATGATATTCTAATCCCAACAAGTTAAGAACGGATAAAATAATTATTCTAATTTTTTTTCAATAAAAAGGGATCTTAATTGAAATTTAACTTACATGAAGTTGTAGTTTAAATTATTTTCACTTCAGTGCTTGTAAATTATAAAGTGAATGGAGTAGAGGATTACTAATTAATGTTTTGCTTGTCCTTGATGCAGTTTCAGAGTAACATTCACCATGAATTTGTCTGTCATTCTTATTCAGCAGGTTTTTCAAAAATTTAAGTCAAATTCCGCAAATTTTGTCTAATGTTTCTTCTGTAATGATATAATATAGTTTTCATTTAAGTTCATATAAACTAAGTTGTATCGTCAAGCAGTGAAGAAATTATTCGCAATATATGAAAATCATCACTATGATAATTTGAAGCAGACATTATTTACATTAAAAGAAGTCGCGAAAAAAATTAATAATCTAGAGATATGTATAATTTTAATCCTACTTTAAAATGTTCTTAATATTTTAAAACTGAAGGTATTCGGAACATGTGAGTGTGGTTTTATACAATGCGTATTTCATAAAGAGATGTTATATTTTATATGAAGTGAATGGTTAACAAATTTTTGAATAGCTAAAACACACGTATTAATATTCCTTTCATTTATAATACATTTTGATGCATTTTTAAAAATCATATCCAAGGTAAGAATGAAAAATAAAAGAAATTTCCAGTATTCATAATATATATTTTGAAATTAGTATGTAATATATGTATAAAAGAATGATCTTTGAGAAAGGGAACACTGTTTAGAAAGAGAACCATGACTGCTGTGATGTATATATATATATAGCAACTGTTGTAATAACACATATTCTAAGGCCTCTAGTCTTGATAATCATAACATTTGATACGATAGTGCTGTACTCCATTAGCTGTTTCCTCAGTCGTTCGTTTTGCATAAAATGATTTGCTCAGCGCAATCAGATAAATATATTCTATATCCTCCTTTTTGGAACTCTTTTTCATATGCACTGCACATACTCTGTTGTACCAGTCACTGTACGTTAAACGTTGTACTATTTTTGCAGTCTAATAGTACTTTGCACTTGTACGAAGCTTGTTTCTTTGCTCGGTTACTTTCCTCGCTGACATGAAAAGGCTAGTTACTCGTCATTGATGATTTCCTTCTATAAATAATCGCGTACGTAAAATAAATAAAATTTTTGTAACATTTTAGAAGTGTCTATCATACTTTATAAAATTTGAAATTAAGTTTGCGTTCCGTACTTGACAAATTATCTGACAATTAAAGAAAAAATGAGAAGTTAAATTCGAGAAGTCTGAAACATAGAACCATATTTAATTCTGATCACTTTTTTAAAACTTTTAAACATTTCTAAATCAAAATTTCAAACTTACTTTTGAAGGCAAAATCAAGAAACATAGCGAACTGTTGTTTCTTCTTTCAGAAATTTGGAAAATATTTTGTAAATAGCTCCATAAACCTTAGTAAATTTGTAAAACAAAATTGCATAAAAACATTCATAATCAAGATTTTAAATGTTTATTGAAAAGACAAAGTAATCCAAGTTAATAAATAAAGACAATACTGTAAGAAAAGTTACAGAAGTATTAACTTATTTACTAACTCTAAAACTTCTTTACTCGCTAATCTTTACTTCATCTAAGTTTTATAAATAATAACTCGATATTGAAATATTAAAAAATGCGTTTAATTATTATAAATATCCCTTACTAAACACACTGTATCATTTGATAGAATACGATTTAACAATTAAACATTCTGAAATCTTTCACTGATATACTAAGTACGAATACGACGATATAGTACTCGTATGTTCCATCGTAGTTCTAATGTAAGAGAACAGACTTCTGATTATATTTTCCAATTAAGTGAAATCATAATGACTGAAAATTTTGCGAAATGACAACATTGAAGGGATGGTTTTTTCTCTTCTCTTCTTTCAATGTGTTTAGAGTTTCTAACTTTGCCAAATAAATTTAGTACGTTATTGTCGATTAAAATCTTAAACGTGAAAAGCGAATAAAGATAAATTTGATGGCAGCCAATGAAAATGTAATACACGCACCTGAATGACTGTATGTCATGATCCGTGTGTAAAGATCCATTTATTAATTTTAAAGCTTTTTAAATAACTAGCTTCTAATAGCTTAATTAATTTTTAAAAGTTAAATTTAAAAAATTTAATTTTAAAAAAAGGCGCCGGAAAAATATTTTTCATCTAACTGATTAAATTCTCAAATCTTAAAATGAAAACAAATCTAAATTTTTCCTTTAAATCTTGCACAAGATTAAGAAAATTCAATACAATGAGCTTTGATGTACATGAAGAATCAATAATCGCAATTTAGACAAGCTTGCTGTAACACATCTAGGCACTGCTTCTAATTACCTTATTCAATCTCTTTGCCTCGACGCCGCAATTTTCTGGCATTTTTTCAGTTGCACAAAAAGGAGGAAACCTTAGCTTCTTTCATTTCGCCCCGAGGAAAGGACCAAGCAGTTCAGAGTACAACAAGAGACTGGATTATATATTTTGAAAATGGTTGAGCTGTGTTCATTTTGAGTGGTGCTAATGACCTTACGCAGCGCTAGTTAAGCAAAATATTCTTTGGCAAACTCGAAATATTCCGTTAATTTAAAGGCACATACTTCTTGTATAATATTTGATGAAATAATTTCTAACTACCTTTCAAAATAACATAAATGTAGACTTAGGCAGCTTAAATTCGAATCCCTTCCTCCATTTACCTTTTAAAATATATCCCTTAATATATTACATTAAAAGGAACTATTAAGTTTCTTTTGTGATATTGGCCGAATATCTTAAATTTCTATAAATAATACCCTATGTATATATGTTACTTTTTATTGGACACATATGCGTTTTTATTCGTAAACAAATTTAATTGTGCAAAAGTTTGCGAAGTGTTTCGAGTTTGCCAAAATATTTGGAACTTTTATTAATCTTTACATCAAGAGCTGATAATAGCAAAAGATTGTATGCTATTTTTGAAGTATGTAAGATGAATTTCTGTGAACAAGCAAGCTGAATCAATAAAGGTTATTATTTAAGGCAAACATCTGTGTTTACTTCTTACCACGTTCTTCCACACTGCAGTATGCTATCAAGTGAATGTTAAGTCATAACTTGCAATGTTTTTCATTCACTGATACTGCGTAATAATCACACTGTGCAATAAATTTTAATCATCATAGTTTTAAGTAGATAGTAGTTTTATATCTAGCTATAATCTACTTAAAAATAACATATACAAGTATCGCTTGTTTACCACAGTAGATAGGCTCCTAGAAAACAAAGTGTTTTGTGAAACGTGTTATACAGGACTAATAACCAATATGAAATAGAGCGATGTGCTTCGAAAGCTTTTGAGAGCAAAATATTTTTAATGGTTCTCTCTATTGCCTCATAACTTACTCATAACTAACTCTATTAACCTCATAACTCATAACTCATAACTTTAGAATTTTTGCAGCGGGAGATTCCTTTTCTCTCATTTTAACAAACCATTCAAAATTTTCCATCTCCAAAGAAATAAATTTTATTTTAAAAGCTGACTTCTCACTTTCAGATATAGTTTGGGACTCAAATATTATTTCGCAATAATTATTCCTAAAAATGTCAAAGCATGTTAGTAACACATACCTAATTTTTTTAAGTTTCTTCCAAAATCACAATTACGTAATTTATTCAATCTGCCAAACTGAACACTTGCAGCATAAGATGAATACTATGTAATGATGGAAACAACTCAATTTCAAAAGAATTTCGACGTGAGAGAAAGTAAGTATTTGCAGAATTTTTTTTATTTTTGTCTGTATAAATCAATAGGTTGTTATTACACACGATGGCATAGTAGGAAACTTCATATTGTAAATTGCATATTTATTTGAGTGCTAAAATGAAACCGTACTGCCTCGCTATACAAGGTTTTTTATCGTATTTCTTATCGCGTAAGAGCGAAATCGTGTTATAAGAAGGATGGATACCTGTAATTAAAATTTATTTAAATAAAATGCTATAAAATAGTTTCTGAAAAATTTAAGGATTTGATTTAAACAAAATGAAAAATGCTAAATGTTTTTTTAAATATTTATGAGAAAATAAAGGTTTTAACCGTTTTATTATAATGTTTCTTCAAATGAGTTGTATGTATACTTTTTCAGTTGCGTTTGTGGTTTTATTAAATATGTTCCTCCATGAAGTACAAATCCTAATGCAAGTGTGCTAAAAAATCAGTAGATGAAAGAAATCCCCTATCTTCAGAATTTCTTTTTATGATGTACACTAAAAATTGAGCAAGAAGCAATTTCAGAAGCATTTCTTTTATTTCGCAATCTAGACAATTTTTAATTTGTTGAAATAATACAAAACCGTATCTTAACCAAATGTTTTATTTCAGTATTTAATAAAACAAGAAGAAATGAGACATTCTGAAAGACTTTTCAAAATAAACATGTGTTTCTTCATGTATTAAGGTGAACTCTCTGCCTTTCATCCTTCAAACGTTTTAGTGCTTGAGTAACTGTATTTTTTCTTGGTTAATTTAAAGATAAAAATTATGCTTAATCCAAGCACAATATTAAATTATCATATTTACTTGCATACTTATTCTCCAACCTTTTCCAGCATGTGATTTAGAAACTAATGATTTATAGTAGCAGCGTGAGAAGTATAAATTGACAGAAATGCTGGAAAAAAGAGTAGTACTGAAAGCAACAACTATTTTGTAAATATGGAATGCAGTAACATCAGTACATATACTCGTATGTATGTTTTAATGTAATTAAAACCTTCTCCTCTCAGAAACAATATACATCGCATAATTTTCTCTTTGTAAGTTTGAAAGGTTACAATTATTGAAGTAGAAGTAGTAATTGATGATGATAAGCTAGCAATACGGTATTTAATGAACACAGTAAGCGAGAAAATACGGAACGCTAATAATTTGTAGTAAAATCTAAAATGACAGCAGTCAAATGAAACAATTGGAAACGCGACCAGTTTTATTTCAGCGTAATGAAGAAGCTAGTTTCAACCTTTCATTGCTTTTTTCCAGTTAATGTTAGTGACGAATGGTAAGGCAAAAATCCAAAACACAAATGATATGAAGAACAAAATTCTAAATCCATACATAGACGCATGTAGCAAGTAAAACGTGCTTGGAAACTCTTTACGAATCATCGTTTCTGCCAAGAAGTAGAGAGGACATCGGAGAAGCTCAATGATTGGTCCCCAAACACTATAAAAATATTAAAAGGCATTAGAACTCTTTAAACAGGTCGAATTTAAAATTCAACACTAAGAAATATCAAAAAACGCCATGACAACTAATATATAAAATATGTTTGAAAATAAAACAAAACAAAAAAAAAAAAAAAAAAAAAAGGTCAGCCGCATTGTAAGCCGGTACATTGGTTTACACTTTTTACTGTTTTAAAAATGTCAATCTTGCATATAACATAAATTTAATTTTAACTTTGTTCACATGAATAAAAAATCGCTAATTAAAAACTAGACTTTTGTAGGAGCACTTTCAAGCACATCCCCTACAGCTTATGAAAAGATTTAACGTAAGTATAAATATTTCATACTCAAATCAATGCCTTCGATAATTTGTTTTCCTTATAGACTGCTAAATTTGTTTAGTTTCATTAACTATGGAAACTAATTATTTATTATTCAAAAATTAAATATTAGGTTTAGCATTTAAAACGATACTTAATACGAGACTTTATGTACATTCAACTCCATTGGTGTAAAACATTAACGCGAAAAACGCTGAACATCCTAGAAACAAAGCAGCAGATAAAAACAGTTGTCCGTTTTAGTTAGCCCTTTTTCGTTATACTGAGGTATAAAGGTCTTAGGATCTTTCATCTAAAAGGTGATAAAGTCATCTAAATAAAAGGTGAAAAAAAATTTCGTATTATACTAAACTCTTATGAGAGGTATTATGTTCGAATTGTGATGTCACAGGTTGTAGTCTGTGATGTGTAAGTAATATATATATCGGTTTTGTGGATTGAATGCCCACAGAACCGATGACAGCATGAAAAAATTTATTTATTCTCGAACATTCCACAAAAGAACTCATGCAGCTTTTATCAGTAAGATACAACTCAGTCAATAGTTAGTTAATACTTCAAATTCTAAGAAAATTAAACATAACGCAATGCAAAGTTCATCTAAAATGTGAAGCTCGCATGGAAATCTCTCGATACTCCGAAGACGACTCTGAACTAGGAAACTAAGAACTTATGCTCTCTGCGGTCTTATATAGTTTTCCGCTGGCCGCCAAGAATTTCCCAGTACCTTCCATTTCTTTTACCTTTCATTCTAGTTCATTCCAGTACCTTCTATTCATTTAGATTTGCAAAGGAGTTGATGAACTTTATAAATGGCAATAGAACAATATTGGAAATTTTGGTTTGACGTTTTTAACTGTATTTTTGTTTTAATCTGTATTGTGCTGAATTAACCATGAGACCGATTATTATCGGCCAGGAGGGTTGCAGCCCACTCGTATATTACATTGCATTACCTTCCATTTCTCGAAAATATTGGAAGGCATATAAGGAACGGTCACGGTTGCAGCTGCATACAGGGATCAATTACATCTACACATTTGGAGATTTCTCGCCAAATTTGGAGACAAAAATTAATCGCCAAAATCATCACCAGCCTAGCCCTATATTTACCTCAATGTTAAATAGACTTGTCCTTGTAATCTTATTTTTTCTGGAGGAGTTTCGCATTTTTCAGGCATTTCATTTTATATTATGAAGAGATACTATAATTTTACGTATAGTTGCACTAAATTTGTTTGACTATATACAAAACTCATAATAATATTTTAATTGACCGGTCTATAATAGCTTTGTCTGCTGCAAAGGAAAGGACGATAACAAATTCAATTTAAGTGCTTGCTGATCACTCTTTATAGTTCAAAAGACATCATTTATAAGTAGTCCCAATTATAGGACAAACTATTCGCAAAACATTTTACTTATAAGTGATGCAAAGGTTAGCACAATTCGTTCCGAGGGTGAAAACAGGAATAAGAAAGGCAAAGTTATTTGCTTTGCAACAACGCTCCAAGCCATACTGCTTGTAAAAATTTCATCGTCAAAGAATATTTAACTTTGTAATAAACTAATAGCATGAAGCAGTTTTCATATTTTCCCGATCTTTTCCTTTGCGAATTTTTTTTTTTTTTTTTCGTTTTCGCAAAAAAATATTTTTTAAATGTCATTCTTTTGAAGATGCAGATACGATTTAGCAGAAGGAAGAAGAAGAGCTTGAACAGCATTTCAAAAATTTCCTTTCAAAACTGTACCCTTAAGAAGATTGTGAAAGCTTTGTAACTTCTCAAAGAAATTACATTGGAGGTGAATTTATGTAATACTTTGTAAATGTTGCACAAATAAAGATTTTCTATCATTCCTGAAACATTTCCAATGCACTGCATATTATTCACATAATGCTCTCTTGGATGATTATAATACCATTTCGGCTTCCAAGTAGCGAAATCTACAATAACTGATCAAAATCAACAGAAATCGTGTCCTTCGAAATCTGAATTTCCTTAAACAAGTATAATTAACTTCACTGCGGAACAGACTACTGCATTATAGGGCATATTATTAAATGTTTTAGGTTTGGTTTGGTTTATTTGGTAATGGCCAAGCACACGAGGACTATCTGCCTCAGAGGAGAGATGACCCCATAGAGGATTTTCTAAGGGATACTGTCCCGTACCTACGTTACACACGAAGAAAACCACAAAAACGCTCATGCAGCTAGCCTTTTCACAGGAATTTTAAACCGGGACGAACTATATGAACAGTGAACGAAGTGTTTAGTGACTTTACCCCTTGACTACTAGCGGAGTACAACTTTAAGAAATTTAAAATATGAAGCACAATTAGTAGAAATATCAAAATAATTGTATGTTCATTCATTCAAAAGTTTTTTCGTGAATACTAGTGAAACTTCAATTCTAAAATTTTAACTACAATTTCATACCAGTTCATTTCTTCCTTACGTCATGATGAAGCTTTATACTAGTAAACAATCATATAAATTTTATTAATATTTCTTTTAGTAATCAGTGGGATCTTCATTATGCCAATCGACTGCCGGTCCATATTCTGCTATCACCCCATTAATCATCATTAACCTTCCTTTAAAATTTCATCAATATCCTCCAGAGGACCAGTACTGGTTCCATTGGCAACCCCTGATTTAGCACTGTAGTATTAATAGATATGCAACTTTATCCATCTTTAAACTTCCTCATATGTGTCAAATGCTACCTGCTTCAAGACATTTGAAGTGAATCAAAAGATATTAACAAGTCAGTGCTTATAAAAGAAGTAGGGATAAAAATTTACGAAAAAGTCAAGAAACAGTGTAGACGTAACATCTACCTACCTGAGATCCAATAAGCAACCGAGAGCTACGGTAGTAAAAGCAATGGAACAACCACTTATGATGACAACATATGTAGATATTATCTGTAAGAAAAATAGAAACAGCTATAAATAATGGGCAAGTCATAAAAGTAACATAATATAGCCAACAAATATTTTGTCACATAATAGATAGCACTTGTTCGACAACTGTCAGCTAAAAGAAGTTCAATCTATTTTATATAGAATTTCTTTATTTATAAACTACTTAATCATTTAATTATACATTTTTTCCCAAAACGATTTTAACGGGGCATTCCTTATCAAAGCAAACTACCGAAAATATAGTAAATTGCTCACCATTAAAGCCATTAAAATGCTCACCAAGAAGGCGGCATGCAACAAACGTCAAATTTGCGTGAAAGGTACACGAGCTGCAATTTTCAAATAATTAACATTTCAGCGCATGTGCTCAAAGCAAGTATGGATAACAACATGTACAATGTGTATAAATGGGAGAATTTCACAATAGTTTCTTATTTGGAAATCGTATGAATCGATGGATCAAGAGAGCCATACTGACAGCCATACAGGATCTCAGTAACCCCGAGAAACTAACGCCCAAGAGGACAATATGTTGTTATCTCGGACAAATATGATTTGCCGAATCGTACAGCCGCGTCACGTACACTGAGTCGAGAATCTAGCTAATGTGCAGGATGACTAGTGTCCTCATGGGCAATGCGACGACCTCTGCAGCGCCGCGGACTTTTAGGAGGGCATCGTTGTTGAAGCTTTACAAGACTCTGAAGCAATGATAGGTGCGCCTATAGTGGTGAGATGAATAGGGATACTGGACACAGAAGTGGCACCACATCCTCTTTTCAGACAAATTCAGGTCTTGTAGATAGTATTATAATAAATGTATCCGTGTGTAGAGGTACCGAGGTCAATGCACAAACGCATGTTTACCAAGCTGTTTTGACTTTGTATACTTGATACAGAGAATGTTCGACTTTCGCTCTGGCCAGCACGTTCTCCAGATTTCTTACCCGCTAAGAACATATGGTCATGGGTTGCCGAGAGACTGGCAGCCATTACGACTGAAGATATCTATCGTAGAGATGAAGTCGCATGAAATGATGTACTCGTATCTATCATCCAGGCTTAGTTAAGCTTATATGCAGCCCGATTACAGCCGCTGTTACGACCAGAGATACAACCTCTATGTATTGCATTCTGCATGCTGTGTTCCTCAAACCATCTGCAAGTTAACTATGTCATGTTCTCAAGATACTGTACATGCATAAAAGGTAAGTTTCTGCTGCTTGCTTTCCTTCCATATGCATCAATTTTAACGGCAAAAAGTCTAATTTGACGCATTATTTTGTTTTGAATAAAGGGGAAATATCCTACATAAAAAAGAGGGTGATAATGAAAAATTCATTTTGTATTTCTTTACATCAGCATATTTATGATGCATTCTGAGAGCTGTCTCATTGAAAAAAACAAGATGACGTAAACATTAAACGAAGATTAGAAAATATAGTACAAGCCCACTTCCTGAACATCCGTAAGAAATGAAGTCAGTCCTAATTTCTTGAGACTCAAAAACAAATAATGCTCTTTCAAAATGTCGTTAGAGAATTCATTTAGAATTTATCTAGGAAATGCTGTCTTGCTGAAGAACAATTTGTAAACGAATACAGCTGGAAATATTTTATAGAGCATTAAATAAGGAAGCAGCAGTAACAACGGATGAGGCGTAAACTGAAGCAAGCACTGTAAAATAATAATGAAATATATCTCCAAAATAAAACGTTGAAAGATATGTTTAAGAGATTCCTGTATTTAAATTTTATTTTCTATTTCCTGGTGGCATACGCAAATAATGAGGTAAGAAGAGTTAATAACTGAGAAATAGCTAAAGTTTTACAAATATGCTGTACTATGCTGTCAATTTTAATTAATGCAAAGAAAATAATTAACGAAAATTTTTTTCTCAAACCTAAACTTCGATGCAGGAAGAATAAATAAGAAGTTTTATAATTTAGGATCCATCCTTTCAAAAAAAAAAAAAAATTATAAGCGTAACTTTACTTACAATTCTCTTATTTTGTGATTGAAATTTAAAACTTTTAGATAAATATGAATGTTTTGCTGTAATATCTTTATCATCTGTATTTTAGTCTGAGTAGCTTCATTAAATATCGAGATAATTTCATAAATATAGTAATAAAAATAGTTTTAACTCAGCGTTACTAAATTTACAAACCATCCGACAACGGCTAAGCTGAGAAGTCTTCCTGAACAAGTTAACTATGTCATGTTCTCAAGATACTGTATATGCATAAAAAGTAAGTTTCTGCTGCTTGCTTTCTTTCCATATGTATCAATTTTAATGGCCAAAAGTCTAATTTCACGCATTATTTTATTTTGAATAAAAGTGAAATAACTGAGCTGAGACGGCTAAGCTGAAAAGTCTCTGAAATATAGTATTAAGACATGCTTTTGACAAAAAGGTGAATGCATCGCTGAAAGTATATTATGCCATGCTTTATTAAAGAAACAATGAAATTTTTATTAATTTCAAACAATGAAAAAATGGCGTATCTAAACTCGAAAGCAATATGTATAACATTTTAACTACTGCAGCTGTTATTGTATGTTTTCTATGAGTTCACAGAAAAAAATCGTAATCATCTCATAGATAAATGATATAGTTAATTGATAAAAATTTATGTTAATTCATAAAGATTTTTTAACAACAACTAGAGCTGGATAAGAATGATGCACTAAGCAAAATCAGTAGAATCTAAGGAATAAAACAACGAAAACTAAAATTAAGAATTAATTAGTTCAATAATTTTTTCCATCATTTCTGTTTCAGCAGCCAAAGATGGCAAGGTAGCTGAAATCACAAACGGCGTTACTATTCGCAAAGTTCTTAAAGCCCTTTTCATTGTTTCATGTCTCATATTTCACTGCATGGAAATAATTATACGATAGTAATTTTTTTAAGAGCTTATTTTCAGCACAAGTGTTAAATTTTCCTTCCGTTCTACTATAAAATAAATTAAAAAAAGTACATTGTTTTAATGAAATGAAATATTTATCAAATCTTTTTACATAAAATTAAATGCACTTCATGAAAAGTTTTCTCATTCAGAATGCATCTAGTGGACATTTTGTCATAAGTCTTAAAACTGGATGCAAATAGCTATTTCTTACTTTGATAGCGAAAACCAAATACTTACAGAAAGGTTTAGAATCATCAGTAAATATGCTGTTACCATTGCTGAGCCATGTAGCAATACATATAACTGCAACCAATTTGGCAATGATGGATCATACTTTGCTTCTGCATCTTTGGGCTGCATAAAAGATATAACAAATCTAAATAATTAACAACTCTTAAGAAAATGTCCCTATTACACGCATATGATTTTTAATGGATATCGTTTAGCGAAAATACATTACTAAATGATTTGCTGTGCGACTGTTTAAGCTACAACACAGTGAGACTTGTTACTGTTTAATGCAACAATACTCCATTACAAATTTAATGAGAGAACAATGTTTCATTTTAAACTCATCAGTTAGCATTAATGTATTCTATGGACCACATTTCTGAGCACATTTGCTGTCTTCAGTAAATTTAGTTCGATATATTTTATACTAATAATAAAATTAATATTTTTTTAATAAAATAAACAAACGATTTGATTTACTCAAAGTATATAGAATTAGGTGATATTCCTGTGTTTACATGCTACCTGCCCAAGTTTATTATGAAGCTATGCCAGCAACGTTTTAAATGACTAATTATTGATTGCCATATTTTTCTAATCCCGAGATTTAAATTCCCTTGATTTGAATACTAGCTTACTTAAAGATTTCCCCAGCAAGTGAAGTTAATTAATGATACTTAAGAACATCGGTACTTACACTGAAGTGACAAAAGTCATGGGATACCTCCTAATATTTTGTCGGTCCTCCTTTTGCCCGGCGAAGTGCAGCAACTCGACGTGGCATGGACTCAACAAGTCGTTGGAAGTCCCCTGCAGAAATATTGAGCCATGCTGCCTCTATAGACGTCCATAATTGTGAAAGTGTTGATGGTGGTCCATAATTGTGAAAGTGTTGACGGTGCAGGGTTTTGGGCACGAACTCACCTCTCGATGATGTACCATAAATGTTCGATGGGATTCATGTCGGGCGATCTAGGTGGCCAGATCATTCGCTGAAATTGTGCAGAATGTTCTAACCAATCGCGAACAATTGTGGCCCGGTGACATGGTGCATTGTCATCCATAAAAATCCCATCGTTGTTTGAGTACGTAAAGTCCATGAATGGCTGTAAGTGATCTTCAAGTAGCTGAAGGTATCCATTTCCAGTCAATGATCGGTTCAGTTTCACCAGAGGTCCGAGTCCATGCCATGTAAAAACAGCCCAGACCATTATGGAACCACCACCAGCTTGAACAGTGCCTTATTGACAAGTTGGGGTCCATGGCTTCGTGGGGTCTGCGGCACACTCGAACCCTACCATCAGCTCTTACCAACTGAAATCGTGACTCATCTGACCAAGCCACGGTTTTCCATTCGTTTAGGGACCAACCGATATGCTCACGAGCCCACGAGGGTCGCTGCAGACGATGTCGTGCTGTCAGTAAAGGCACTCGAGTCGGTCATCTGCTGGCATAGCCCAAGGAAGACAAATTTCGCCGCACGTCCCTCGTACGTCCCGTATTGATTTCTGCGGTTATTTGACGCAGTGTTGCTTGTCTGTGAACATTGACAACTCTACGCAGACGTCGCTGGTGTCGGTCGTTAAGTGAAGGTGGTCGGCCACTGCGCTGTCCATGGTGGGATGTTTTGCCTGAAATTAGATACTCTCGGCACACTCTCGACACTGTGGATCTCGGTATGTTGAATTCCCTAACGATATCCGAAATGGAATGACCCATGCGTCTAGCTCCAACTACCATTCCGCGTTCAAAGTCTGTTAATTCTCGTCGTGTGGCCATAATCACGTCAAAGCCTCTGCACATGAATAACTTGAACACAAATGAAAGCCCTGCCAAAGCACTTCGCATTTATACATTTTCTACGCGATACTACTGCCATCTGTATATTTACATATTGCTATCCCATGATTTTTGTCACTTCAGTGTATATCCTATCCCATCGACCGTGAAAGCTACGATTGAACTGTAAAAGTTGGAGGAGATGATGCCAAAGTTACGCCAATCGTTTCTGAGGAATTCTGAAGGAACTAACACCTCTTCATTTAATACATAATATGTGTTTATAAGCATGATTCGACTCATTTGACTTATGCACTTCGTAAAAAGGCTTGTGCTGGTTTGTACTTTTTGTTAGGGCCTCCAGTTTTATCGGAAACTCTGTTTAAAATGTTATGAATGCAAACTTCCCACAGGTAAACTTTCTAATATAATACTATTTTGTCGGCCATATTTAATTTTCCATATCATGTCTATTAATGCACATTTTGTTTGATGCTAGGATACAATTCTGCTTGTTCTTCTATAGAAATCAGGCCCTAAAATTTAAACATTTTTTTAAGTGCAATAAATAAATTCAGCTGTAAAAGTTAATTTACATCCTTTTTCATAAAAACAAAACGTGGCTTATCAAAATCAATCCGGATTACATCAAAGGAAACGCAGATGATATGAGTGTGCCATTACGCCACATTTATCCATAACTGGTGCCAAATCGCGCTCTCAGCGGTAGTTTCACTGTCCAAGGGTTAATATACGAGTTCTCAGGCATCTGTTGTTAATATAACTATTTATGTGATATTACCAATATAGAGAGTAGATTTTGTAACGGCAAAAGTTGTTAATCACACATTTTTGTAACATTTACTGGGAACAGGATATTCAAAATTTCAAACTCCACGCATCTTCATAAAATTCCCTTTTTAGCCTTTCTAATTTTTTAAACTCTAACCTAAAAAAACTATTAAACGTTTTAATTAAAAACACTGAAAATAATTAAATAAGTTAACTTATAGTAAAAGCGCTCATTAAATAAGACCGTGACTATCAAGATTCAATACAAAGTCACAACTTCTGTTTCGCACGATCTGAATGATCCGTATCACTTCATAGTAGACAAAAATGGTATATTTCTTTATTTGGAGTTCAACTGCTAATGTTTATCAATTCTAACTCTTGAACTAATCCTCTACACTCCCTTTTATTTAAGAAGATCCCGGAAACATATCAAAAATTTCAGCTGTTTTATCAATTTTTGTGAACTCTCGCGAATCGCTTATTTAATTAGGTTCTTCATTTACTGTTATTCTTATCTGAAGGATTCAAGATATTTTAAGATTCTAAAAACTTAATAAACCACTTTTTAGAAATTTTTGCTCCTATTCTTAATCTAATTGTTATTTTTAAGTTATTAATGTGCAATTATTTGTATTATATTTTCTTATATATTATATTACTGCGAAACACGTAAGGGGATGGATTAAGAAAACCATTTCTTTCAAACCGATTAATGTCAGAAAAAGTTTGAGAATCCTTAATCTAGATAATTATTTGGCTTATCATTTTCCCGGAAGCCAAATAAATGCTCTTTTACTGCAATGGAAACAGATAAATTTTATTTTTTTATCCTGTGTTATCTAAGAAATTAACGTAGAAATAAATTATTATCAAACTTGATAATCAATAAAAAATTTATACTTTATTTTTAAGAAGATCGTTGCAAACATTATGGCAAAACTCCTCTGTGTAAAAAAATAGCATATAATGTCATCCTTGCATGTTTAGAAGAGAAAAAGCATTTTTAAGGTTTAACAGAGTTTCAAGAGGTAATCCAACAAAAGAAGGCGTATACATAATATGGACAGTTATTTTTGTTATGTTTTATAAGTTACGTATTTTCTAAAGTAAAATGTGATGATACATTATTGAATTAAATCGCAAATTTATCTGACATGTTTATGAACTTACCACGGATAAATGGATTTCTTCTAAGTCCAGGAACTTACAAAGTTACTTTTCATTGCAAAGTTGTCAATAGGGTAAAGATATCATATACATTCATTCTACATGGGCTTCATATATTCAAATTATATACACTTCCAAAATTTAAGACCTCAATGCAAATTAGCAGTTTCCGAAATCCTAGTTAAGTTTCAGTGGCTGAAGATCATTGTAGATGCAGATTGTAATATGCTAGTATCGTATATTACAGCAAGTCAATATTAATTGTCTGAACATATGCTAACTAGACAGTCGTGCAAGACGCCAGCATTCTGAAGGGTTCATTTAAATGCTTATTAAAAGTATTTATAATATTCGTAGTAAAGGTTTGACGATATTCGTATTTCTATGGCTGAAAAAGGAATTACAAACAAAACAAAAAAAAATTAAACCAAAAAATAAAAGGTGGTCAAAGAATAAATTAAATTTCTTCATAAATGTTTTTAAATGTGTATGTAAACAGAAACTGTAATTTGGAATATTGTAAATATTTTTGTTAATATAATGTAGCGAACAATAAACAAGAAACCAAAGCCACACATTGAAAACGATAAATAAATATACTTATTACTATTAAAAATCTCTTAATTAAGTTCAAATGAGCACTATGCGTCATTTGCATATAAACTGTGCAAAATAAGAAAAGATTTTTTTCCTCAATGGCGGTTTCTAACCGTTTATAGGCGTTGGCCACTACTAAAGTCGGAAGTGGTATTCTCTTTATTATGGAGGCACCAAATAGATGGACCACCGTTGCTTTCTATGAAGGAACAAACAGATCACATCCATGCCTTCTCCGGGTGAAGAATGAAAAGTTTGAATTATAAGTAAGTAACATCATTCGAAAAGGAGAAACAATAGGCAAAATATTTGTTCATATTAAATATACTGAAATAGTAGAATAAGTTTCACCTTTCAAAGCTGTTACATATTCGATTTCAGAAAATTTCTTCCAAATAATAATCAGACCAAATTCCTAATTGCTAGCTTATTAAAAACATCAAATATCTAACTCCAATAGCTAAACGGATAAAAGATTTGATTCATAGGGATCCATTTATAAAGACTGTAGTCTCATGGATGTAAGTTTACATTGGAAAAGAAAAAAGTGAACTAACTGATACAGAGGCAAAACAAGCAACTCAAGAAGATAATGTCGAAACGATCTATATCCGGAGACCTAAATCGTACCTAATACGTGTAAAACGATAACATATTTGCAAGCATTCTCTTGTAATATTTCCTCAGATGAGAATAACTAGTAGGATAGTCAATTTGTGAACAAGACAGATACATATATGAATTTCTACCTACACTCAAAACTAATCACCATCTTAACAAGTACATTATACGGCATGGCCTTCTTTCAATTTTTCACGTCCATCAACTCTCTAACTTTTCCAATTATGGGGAGAAAACTGATGAGAGTACTATGATCACTATTTGTTCAGTTGTCCTCTAACAACAGGAGGCTACCTTAAATACCCGGGCCTGTAGCTTTCGAAATATATGCAATTTAACAAAAACAACCGTCAATCGACGTTTACTAACCAGTTCTCTTTATGTTTTGTCACGTTCCTTTGATTCCCTTGCTTCATCTTAACCACTTCAAGAAGATGTAAATCAGTGAAGAGTACTTAAGAAATACTCGTATTGAAAGAGGTAGAACTGGCAGTAACATTCCCTACACAGTTCGCTCAATTAGCACGCTCGTAAAAATATTTGAAGAGACTGAAAGATAGTATTTAAAGTTATCTTCAGGATGTTTAGAATTCATCAGCGGCCGAGTGGTTAAGATCATGAATACTGGCGATTCGAAGTAGACTCACATCGCAGGGAACAGACTAGCTTCATCATATTTTCGTTTCCTTCTTCATTTATTCGATCAACCCAACAGGACAATTACTTAGAGCAGTAAGATTCTAATATCCTGTTGTTGAGCTTTCAGTATAGAATTTAGGCACACCTTAGAAAATCAAGAAAGCTCCAGATTTTAAATTTTTCGGCTTTTGACCCCTTCCTTAGTTGCCAGGTAAGTTAAACTGCCGATCATTGCCAGTTTGATCTGGTTTGAATGCCAACGAATGGGTCGGCTGCATATGTGTTTCCGTAGTTTTTCCTCGTCTGTAACACAAATGTCAGGTTATCAAAAAATTTCGTAAAAGTCCGTCAAAAGGTTAGTTCCGGATTCTGAAAGCGGTAAAGCAATGAAAAGAAACTTGATTGTTTTTTGTTTTTTTTTGTCTACCAACGTTTCATTTTTCCTTTTTCCGTTTTCCGCTTTTGCTCTTTACTGAACGTTTTCTTTTATCCTTTTCCTTTTCATACAAATGAATTAAAACAACATACGTTCAGTCTCATGCTACAATTCCATATAGATTTGAAGTGAGTTTGATCGTGTGGTGGATGAAGACTCTTCTACCGTGGTTGCTATGTGTGCCGGATTTTCAAAAGAGGAGAAATTTCGATCGAAGATGCAGCCGATCGGACCAATGCATTAGCTCCGTTACTAATGAAATCATGACTGCTGTTGAGCGAACTGTTATCAATGACTGATGAATTTTCGTGCACTGCATTACAACGATGTTGGTCATTTCAAATACACTACACCCATATCGTTCCAGGAACTTGTTGGTATCAGAAAGTTCTCTATCTGTAGGATCTCGAAGCTTTGGCACTAGTTCATAGCACTGACTGGATGGACATTTGTTGTTAATTCTAGTTCTTCTGCAGAGCTTTGCCCGTGACCCGTAGTAATTGCTGATGATTAATGACTTCTTCACTATGATCCTCTATCCAAGGTTGAATCCAAGGCGTGGAAGAAGATACCTACCAACGATGCTGGATTCGATATGCCATTCCCTCACATTACGGTAGAGATCTAATTCCCTTGAACCGTGACATATATTCGAATTCGAAGAAGCATGCTCGTGGTTGAAGGTTTTGGTTGAATGGGGGGTGTGAAGTGACTTCTTGCATTCAAAAGGTTTTAGATGACTAAAACCTGTCGTCCTTTTGCTGTTGGTACAGTTGTTTTGTTAGAACGATTGAAAAGTGTGATTGATGAACAGGAAAGAAGAGGAATGTTGCTAGGTTTCTAATAGCCGATTGCTTTGTGGGGAGTTCTACGAAATTTTTGGACAACTTTATACGAGAGATTTTTTCTTAGAAAGTTCTCCAAGGAGGATGTCCTACCTTTAAACAGACAACCTTTGAATGTTTTGCTGTAATTGAATAAACTGAGCACTGTCACTGTGTTTGACACTGAAAACGAAAGGTCATGCTTTGTAATTCTATTTGATTTGCAGACTTGCACTGTAATCGTAATTCTGTTTGTTACCAGAGTACACAAAACAAACGTGCATTACAGGATCTATTTTAAAATTTCATTATGTTTCCCCAGTTGTGGCATTTTATAGGAAAAGGCGAAAACTCGCCAGAAGTCCTTAGTTTAAGGCTCCTAATAAGAAGAAAAATTTTAAAGTTTGATCTAGAGTTTGATTTGAAATCTACATACTTAAGTCTCCAATTCTCAATAAATATGAATTGAAGGAAAAGATCACATAGAATTGAAAAACAGACATGCCCAAAATTGGTGAAGAGAAGCAGGTAAATTTGATAAAAAAAAAACGTTTAAATACTTCATATAACAAAAGAATATAAGTTGAGATAAACGAAACAGCAACAGCTAGAACAAAACGGTTAATAAATTAGCTGATAATTAACATTTAAATTACCCAAGTTCTAACAAATGTGAAATTATTTGCTTTCTTTCACTTAAATTTCAAAACAAAATTTCAGCCGAAAACTTCATTCGTCAATGTCATTGAGATATTTTCTTCGATATTTGAAAACCTTAAATACAATTACTAAGATGCAGTCAATTAATAAGTCCTAAGTCCTGCTAAACGTGAAAGAAACTGCCTACATAACAGTATTACAAAATAAACTCTCTTCTCATAAATAACTACAAAGTTTAAAAAATAAGAAAATAAAGATAGGCAAATATTTCAATGCACGAAATGCATTTGAAAACTATCCGCTTAAGCTGAAATGCGCTCCCAAAGGATTTTAATTAAGGAGATGAAGAGCAAAAGTAATTATGAAGTGATATATCACAGTTTTCTCTTAATAGATAATTCAATGAACTTTATTTATAATGATTACATGAATTCCATCATTATTGTCTATATGGAATTAACGGTCTCGTCTAATCGCAAGGGTCTGAATAAGCAGTAATTTATACATTTCGTTTCCTGAAGCTATTTAACTGAATAACGCAGAAGTTCAAACGTTGTCTGGAAAGATTCCTTGAAACTAAGCATAACTTAGGAATAAAAATATGAAAACTAGCTATCCAAATACCATGATGCTAATTTGAGAAAGCTTTGATTTATTCATGACTCTTGCGTATTTTGCAAGTCCTTTGATGTATAAGATAGAATTGCCAACTCTAGTAATTTCGAAGGGTTTCCTTTGTAATCCTTCACAGTCTTCATGACTATTCCACTTGAGTTGTTTTTGTTTCAAACCCCCTTTTGAAACAAACTCTTAGCAGATGAAAGGCGAAACTAAGATGTGAATGGGAAATTTATTTGGTTGGGTTAGCTTCGTATGTAATCCTCGGGAGACCGACTGTCTCGAAATCAGTGAGTTACATGTAATATTTCTGTCCGCCTGGTTTATAATACAGAAAATGGCAAATACACAACATGCCAAAGTGTCTACTTTTAGTCTTGTTATGTTCATTAAGTAATACTGAGGTAAGAATTGGAATAAATCACGTAAAATTTAAATTAACATTTTAAAATTATATATAAGTTACAATAAAACTTCTAAGTATGATAAATTTCAAAACGGACCGGCAAAACTTAAACTTTACTAGCATCGGGTGATAAAAGTCAAAACGAACTAGGAAAATATTCATATTTGATGAGTTGCTATCGGTAAGTGTAATAATTTATCATCAGCCGCGGTGAAAGTAACTGCAATTTTAATAATAGCTTGCTAAACAAATTTTATTTTTCTATACTTAAAAATTATTTAATTTGGTTAAGCAATTTGATTTTATCCTCGACCATTTGTTTGATCTAGCTTTTATCAATTAACTGCAAATCTCAAGAGCTAACATTGCCTATTTTTGTAAAATCCCAAAACTTTAACTATTTTACTAAATGTTCGGGACCATCCATTGTAGATTAAATAAGATTTAACGGTAGGCCCGACTACAGTATTTTCAGCATCCCAGATAATCAGAACTGTTGACACCCCTACAGATTAGATATATTAATAATTTAAAGCAAATATACTGCTATTTAGATGCCTCTTGGCTTGGTTTGTTTGGTTTATCTGGTTATGGCAAAGCATTGGAGGAGTATCTGCTTAAGAAAAGGGACGCCTTTTCAGAGGGCTTTCTAAGGTAAAGTGGCTCGTATACACGTTACACATGTTGAAAACCTCAGAAACGCCCATACAGCCAGCCTGTTCGCTAGAATCTGAACCCCGAAAATTCTAAGATTTATCGATCTTCAATTTCTAGAGTAACATATATATTCAATTCTTTCTCTAAGGAAAAGAACAGTTAAAATACATTTTACAATTCCAAATATAATTTCTTGACAGAGAGAAAATTGAGTAATGTTTCATGCTTGCAATTATACAAATCTCTTTGTGTGATACCTGACAGAAAATGCTTCAGCTTTTACAAATAATTTTAATTAAGGTTTCGCCAATTATATTTTAGGAGGATAAACATGAAATACATGGTATTTCTATGTGGCAAAATATTTATTTCAAATATTTTAAGAGCATAACAAGAAGTGAAATAAATTCAAAAATGTTCTTCTTTGATTCAAATATGAAATCTCTAGTTTCAATGAAATGACTTAAAAAGTAGATACAAATGTACAGAAGGTATGCAAGATCGAAATTATTTTGTTTCACTGAGATAAAAAAATCATAAAAAGATTCTTCATTATTATTAATTTTCTCATTCCCATTCAAACAATTATTCAAGTTCTTTCGTAAGAATTATAGTGACATTACAACGAACCTTTCGTGGCATTTGCAAAATAAATTTAAGTATCAACAGAACGTAAACATAAAAAACTGAAGTGAGTAATAAATGAGTAAACTTCAGATATAAAATGTGAGGAAAAGAATAATAAGTATGGTTTTTAATTCAAATTTAGAATTATTATGGCTTTAGTAATATCTATCAAATTTATTGTTTTACATGAAAATATAAAGAAACATCTTTATCCAAATATTACATAAAATTAAACTGAAAAAGCATTTAGTAGAGTCTTTATACCTCTGGAATATCTTCCAAATATCCTAACCATGGCTTTCCTGGGCTCCATCCTGGGCCTTTAAAAATAACGCATAATTTGTTGAAGAATCCATCGACCACATGAAGACGCTTCCATATGGTTTGTAAATGATTTGTCTGTCAGATAAAGACAAAAGTTTTAAACTATGACACTAAAAAGATATGATTGATAATTTTACTAACAGTTAAACATTTAAATATTATTAGGATTTTCTGCACTACTTTGCCTCGTCTGCTGATATAGTATCTAAAATCGCAAGTCATTAAAAGTATATGCAATATTCAGTAGTAATTTTTGTGCATAATTAAGAGCTTTGATGAAACACCAAAAATAATGCCAAGGTAAGATAATTGTTAACTGACGTAATTCAGCAGCTCAGGTCGAATTAAATGATAATTATTAAAATAATTATGGTTTTTAGATAGAAAACGGATCACGTGAATCGTTGTGGCCATGAGTTACGTACTATTTCAAATGCATTTTAAGAACCCAGAAAGATCCTAAATTTTCACCTGAAAAAGTTTGAAATATATTTACTGCAAAGATATTTTAAAAAAGTTCTTGAATTAACATTCATTGATTCAAACAGGGTTCTATGCACATTGTTTCTTTTTATCAATAAGCCTCGACATGGGATAGTACTAGGTAGGCGTCGTTAGTGTCCCAAGAAGCCGATTTGAAGATTGGATGCCTCTGACATACTCCCTTGTGACTAATCCATTCTTTAGTAAGAAACGGCTTCGAACAATTTTCTTAATAGATTTGAGCGTAGGTTTTTAGCAATTGGATCATAGCAGTCAACTGTGATTTTTTCATTTGGATAGTGTGCCGCCAAATTGGATGATTACTGAGTTAACGCAAGAAGAATTTGAATTTGGTGGAACAGAAGTGTAGCATCAAATCGAAGTTAGGTTTCAGTTGTATTTGGCTTATCTGCATGCCCGATCTGGAGAGAATTTGTCAATAGACTCGAAACCGTAAAAGTTGCATATGACGCTCATCTAAAGATTTATTAATCAGAAGAAGAACACATCTTTACAAACGTTTAACCGAATATTTACATTTACATTGCTCTTTTTTTCCCTCTTGGAACAAGTGAACAGAAAAACTATTCTGCTCTGCTATTCTGATGAAAAACGAATAGACATGTTGTGTAACTCAGCAGCTCAGTTCGAATTTAATGATATTCCAAACTCTGGCACAACTTGTTGGGACGATGTTTGAAATATTGCAACTTAAATTAGAGGAAATCTTAAACAGAAATTAAAATATGTGGTTAAAAATGTTATTTTAAAATGTTATTGCTGGCTCAAATTGTCTAGTACATTAAAGCAAATACTCCATATAATATTACTAAGCATTTGTTCAATAATTAAACCAAATAATCGCATTTTTGGGGACAGTTAATTAATTTTTTCTAAATGTTAAAAAGATGAACTTGCAAATTAAGAAATTTTTGCCGTTAATATTATTAATTAGAACACAAAAATATATTATTTCATCATACTCTTTTCCTTCCTCACAAAAAGTGGTGTTTAAAATAGTCTAATCAGAATCAAATGGAAAGCGAGTTTCTCCCCTCTCCTCTTTTTAAACATAAAAGAAATCGCTCTGTCTCTCTTTTGTTATTTGTTTTCTTTGACATAAAAAAAGAAAGAGGGAAAAACATTTCTTTTTTCTTAAACAGAGTTTTTTTTTACACATACTTGTTTGAATAAACTCTTGAATATGACTCTAATGAAACTCTAATGAATATATTTATTCAATATAATTAAATAGGGTAAGTTGTTATGTACATTGGTTTTTTAAAGGAATGACGTAGGCATTCGGGAAGCAAAGCAGCGAGGATATCTTAGCAGCGGCGAAGCTAGGAAAAGAATGACGTAGTTTTTTGTGCCAAGAGCCACACTAAGTACATGGAAAAAGCACTGTAAGCTATGACTGATTAATCTTAGGTTGTTACATAATATAGAAGGATCTCGAATTTGAGAGAACAGATGAATATACATGGAGAGTACTAAATCTAGAATCGTTAAGTTTGAGGTCGGCAATTATTTTTAAAGCATTTTTATCGTATTTTCTTGTCTATATATATGCATGTGGATATATATCTATATTTATATCTATATCTATCTCTCTCTCTCTATATATATATACATATATATATATATATATATATAATCCACCGTGTCCACAAAAGTCTTTACCTGGCCTTTATTTTCGTAACCGTCGGTCGTAGACATATACTTTCACTTACAAAAATGTTTGAAATGACGTAAATATTCACGTTTTCGCGTTTTTACATTTAAAGAAATCAATTTTGTTATAATTATGAAATGTATACTTTATACGTTCCTCCTGTTCCTGTATTTGAAACAATTTTGTGCTTGTTATAAAAACGCTGAGATGTAACGCTGCTAAGTAAACCTAGCGCCAGAGTGTCGCTATGGTAAATAAATATAGTGAATTTTAAAGAGTGCATTTATTCTATTGTGGTTTATGTCCTATCGACGAAGTAGATTTAATTCAATTCGGTAAGTTTAAATGAAGTGCAGAAAAAAATCCGCATAATATAATATTCCGTACAAGGAAGTCATGCGGTGTACACATCAGCTTTTTTTATATTAAAATAGGAGATCTTATTCAGGAACCGTCCACATATTGAAGAGCAAAATCTTTGTAATTATACGTAACTAAAAATAAAATACCACATTAGAAAATATTTTCTGATATATTAAGATGCAGTTTTAGACTTATAAATGACTTAAATGAATGAAAACTTATAAATGACACGCGTGAAAATTCATTCGGCATACCAAATGTAAAATATGTATGTAAATTAAAGATACTAGCTAATCACAAAAGTCGACCACTGAGTAGCATGTAAGACAAAAATCAATCTCAGTTTATTTTAATTTATTTGTTAAATATTAATTTGCTTAATTTATTTGTTAACCCTCAATGCAAATTGCAAATGATCTCAAAAACTGCAGATTCTGAAGTTAAATATCTCTGTTAACTTTTGTCCTACAGGTGTCTAACTTTTTACTTTTCCAAGAGGAGTACAAAATTTTCGAAGTATAGGAGTCGAGCAAGTGCAAATCGTTGGATTTTGCACTTTATGCAAAATTAATTATTTGATACTTAAAAGTATGGAAACATGAATCTGTGTGTTATTTAAAATAGTTTTGTAATGGAAATATATGTTTACGACTAACGGTTGCAAAAATCAAGGCTGGGTAAGGACTTTTGTGGACACGATGTACAGGATTGTCATAAAAAAAAACTTCCCCGATATATGAACCCCTAATGGCCTATCAGCTCAACTAATCGAAATGAAATTTAATATCGTTATTTTTTTATTTGAAGGTATGCGCTCTAGATTGTGATGGTTTAAAACAATAGAATTCTTATGGTTACGTTTACTGATAGAAAAAAAATTCCAAATTTTCAAATGGCAACAATTATGTTGTAACCGGCGGCAGGTTGCTCTCATGACTCCATGTAAGGATTAGTAACCGACTAAGACGCTATTTGTTTAGTACATTGGTTAAGGATGTGTATTACCTACTGCATTTTTGAACCCAAAATATATTTATTACAAATTTAGGAGAAGCTCTATTATAATACATAATAACATGGAAAACATGGAATAATTATTGTATGTAAAGTTATAGTATTCGTTATGTTATAAGGTATTTCTCCCACTTCCCTAGCGTGCCTTCGTGGTGTAACGGTAGCACGCTGGCCCGGTATTCCAGAGATCCGTGGTTCGATTCCCGGGGAAGCGGTTGCATATTTTTCATCTTTTCTGCTTCCAATTAACCTAATGACTCTACAATGTGAGGATCTTGCTAACGGCTAGTCTCTCTAGTCGAGAGTTCCAAAGCATTCTGGCGTGTTGCTGTTCTGTTGGAAACAATCTCCAGACTGAATTAGTCCCGCCTCCTTAATTTTTCAGTTGTACTTTACATCCTTTGATTCCGTATATCTGGAACGATATCAGGAAAAACAAGATTATTGGTTCGTCAGCCTTCCTGAAATCGAGAGGCTTTGACGACAGACACAGCGCAGAATGCTAAAATTTATTAACACTGGTCGTGAAATTATGTCTCGTGTATTGTCAACAGGAAAGAACTATTGCGTCTGCAATGTCAGACCATGTCATATCACGCTTCGTAACAGCTTGAAAACAGTGATTTGTGGTGACTGCACACATGATTTTCCCATCTCTGTGTGGTCCGCCGCAACAAGTATTTTCTTGCGCAAATCGATCAGCACATTAAAAAAAAAAAAAAAAAAAAAAAAAAAAAAAAAAAACAGAAATGAAGTTGGAAAAAATTAAAGTATAAAACATTTGGCAAAGAACAGCATTGTAAAGAACCAATAGCAACATAAGAGAAGAGAGGGAAAAAACTGTTATTTAAAAGCTAAAACAATTTAAAAGACGTACATTCCTCAAAAATACAAATATTATTTTGAAAAAATAATGAAAGAGAGCCATTAAAACACTTTTATTCAAAATACGTACGTAAAGCAAAACAAATTTTATGCCTTTCTTATTAAAGAAAACAATGTATGAAATACATGGAAGTATGTAGAATAAATGTATTATATGTGTGAATTATGTATGAGTATACAAAATTAGAAATGTATTTCATAGTTTATCGGTTTGTCATTTGGCATTCTATAAAATACCTAGGAAATGTATCATATATTGCCGGCCAGATTTCGGCGTTCTATCAAAGACCTAAGTATTCTGTAGAATGCAGATTTTCATTGCGGACATTCATTCATGGACTTTACATTGCCGGTAACATATATATCTACATATATATACACATGTACATATATGCATATATCAGGAGATTTAAACATCATATAAAATTCGAAATGTTCATATAATCTCATAAATACAACTTAGCAAGAAACATATTGAAATTTATTACCTGAATAGAAATTGGGTTAAAAGTCTGGATAGGCTGCGTCACTCCATAAGAAATTGCTTTGTTCCCTTCTGGTTCAAATGTTCCAAATATTCGATCCCATAAAATAAATAGACTGCCAAAGTTTTTGTCAATACAACGGCGATTTCGTCCTTAAAATATAAGTAAGTATTACTAATCTTTATGCTATTATCAGACATGTCTTTCATATTGCAATACACAAAAAAAAAAAAATTGAATATAAACGTGTTTATAAGGATTTTAATAAGAATAAAATTTTTTAATTATCTTACACCTGCATTTGTCTGAACATCCATAAAGCATTACGATATACATTTTTAACAGGAAAGCCAGCATAAAACTTACATGCAAAATTTGGAAAAGTTAAATGACAAGATACTAGTATAAGTGTTTAGTAATAAAAGTATTTTCATTTCCATAGAATTCCAATACCACATATAAATGTCATATAAAAGATATCATCGGCCATACAGATATACTGAATTTCAGATAAATAATTCGATATTTTCAGCAAGATTAATAACTTTCCTTGCCTTCTTAAATTTATATGATTTTAAACATCAAAATTAAAATTATTCAAGATATATAGTTATTCAAAATCATTTATCCTATTTCAAAGAAAATAAAGACTAGAAAATCTACTTAATGTTAATGTTTATTCATAAATCTCCGTGTAACTTTCTATTCATATTTTTTTTTAATTTTTAATTTAATTCATAAATTAAAATTTATGAAGTTTAATTTATTCATAAATATAAAAGTATCTCTGAAGCATTGTTCAAGTAAGTCTGAGAATCATTGAAACGGCAATAATAATGCTACTTTGGAACTTTGCTCCAAAATTGTGAGAAAACTTATCATACATACAGATAAAAATTGCCCTAAGATCTTGCATTGTCTCTGCTCGAAAATCTTATTTTGTTTTCGCTATATGGTCACAATGAAACAAGAGAGATATTTTTGATGAGTTCCTTAAATGTGTTCACACCAAAATCAACCACAGTAGTAATAAAGCCAAATACAAAAATAGAACAGTTTTATTTTCTTTTTTATTTGCATGCTTCAAAAGTATTCCATTTTGAAATCCTGTATTTTTTGTCCCGATTTTTCCTATTTTCCAAATTGAAATTCCAAAATCTTTATTCGAGTTTAATGCATGTGCTTCTAATGTTAAATAATTGAATTTAAAGTTAACGCGCATGACATTACTTTAATTTTAACTGCGCATCTTCGTTAATTTGTGATGGGAATAAACGTAAAATCAAATGCAGACACCAAAAGTCACTAAGAGAGCCTTTTCGACAAAAAGGAAGAATGCATTTTCGATGCCAAACGAAATGTTTTGACCAAAATGTACTCAAAATATTAACGTTTTACAATGAATCCTCGGGTTCTCGCCTCCAAAATTAGAATGGAATAAGGTAAAATCGTCCTCTATATGGTCTTCAAGGATTATGCCAACAACAGACGCAGCCTTTCTCGCACTCCTACTTTGCCAAAATACAATGTGTAGGCCTTTTCTAATTAGGTTACATCAGTAGGATTATTCCCCCAAAAAGAAGCAAGACAAAACCAAATCTTAAGTTTCCTTAAAACATTAAATGAAGCTTAAAAAATGGTAAATACATTGCTAAAATTTTAACTCACGAACTGGAACAGTTATAGAATTGGAACGTCTCAGATGGATTTTTCATTGTTTAAGATTTAAATCTTCAGCGCAAATAGTGCTTTTATCTAATTTCTACATAAAATTTTGATTGGTATATTATTTCACTGTTATATATGCGGAGTATTCTCGATTAGCATAAATTCAACGTAAATGATATGAAAAGGAGATGCCAGTTTTAGAGGGTAATTTGACGAAATGCTTTTTGTAACCGAAATGTGTTTCAAAGCGATGTTGTATTCGGAATAAGACTGATCATAAATTTTATATAAGCTGATAGGAAAAATTAGGATTTGAAAAATTTATTGCTACAAAGGCATTTCATATTTAAGATGCAATTACAAGTTTCAGAAAGTTCAGAAAATGAAACATTTAAAATATCCTACAGTCAGGAGTCAGGGATGAAACTTATATCTTTTTACATTAATTTCATAATAATCTTACACTGAAGATCCGTACTAGTTTGGAACTAAAGCAATATCCATATTAAAAAAGCCTTCTGTTATAAGAATTTCAAATCAGTCCTTCTGAAAGCCCCCCCAAAACCATAAATCTGTGAATTTAAAGCTATCATTCATTATCTTGTGCATTAAATGTCATTTTAAAGACTTCTGGAATAGAAGGCCTCAACATTAAAATTTTTAAATATCGGCGAAACCAGAATATTTTACGGTAAGCCGATGTTAAAACGTAGCTACATGTACATAATGAGAAGTCTGACAATAGCTTTGAACGTAATCCGTTATATCTGGCTGAGTCAGCTTAATCACTATCCAAGATTTATTTTGATGGGAAAAGTGATGTTCATCGTAATCTTCGAAGCGCTAAAGTAAAGATGCAGCCTTGTAAGTTTTATCTGAAAAGAAAATTATGGGAATTAAAATGTTACATTTTAGTTTATATATTTCCTTATAATTTCCAATTCTTTTATATTTTATATTCTATTACATAACTGTTTTTTAATATTTTTAAAACTCCAGAGTTAAAGAGAAAATTTGACAGAAATAATAAAATAAGAAAGCAATAAGCATAGCTGAATGTGTTTTTTATTTTCCTCAATACTAATTGTAGACATATCAGAGTAAGGAATAAAATTTTATGAAGACGGTGATGAGGAGGAGAGATTTTTGTAAACAAAAAAATTTATTTTTATACTGTCTTTGCAAATAATAATTCCCGTTCACTGAAATAGTCTACATTCTTCAGCAAATTTAATATAAAATTTTCATTACAAAATTCACTAACATACTCAAGAACTAATTCACTTACATTATTTTCTACTATCAGTTTCTTGCGTTACCAAAGATCGAATGAATAAAACCGCATGAAGACTGATCCGGGCTCGGATCCGGATTGGCAATAGGAATTTCCAAGAAGAATTTTCAAGTCAGAGTTGGCAATAGGAATTTACAAAAAGAATTTCCAAGAGGAGGTTTTCCTCATGCATAACTTTGTTACTTGGTTATGTATGTAACTTGGAATGTTTTTAGTAACAATTCCAATTTAAAGTAAAAATCAAAGATTCATAAATTTTAAAGTTAATTAAATTAAATTTCATAGTCAAATAATAATAATAATAATGTGTGTACTTGCAATAAAAAGTCGTAAAATTAGTTCTTGTAAGAAGTTTTTGTTGAAGTCCAAGTTGTCACAGTGTTTTCTTTAATTATCTATTTCGAAAATTTTTTATGTAAAATTCATAATTAACTCAGGCTAATTAACTATGATTTTTGGTCTGTTGAATTCAAGTTGTGGTTTAAAAATCTCTTATTCTAAAAATTTGTTTCTAGTTATTAATTAATTGTTATTTATAATTTAGTCAAATATTTTATTTTTGAAATCCCAAGAATCAAATATCATAAAACTAAAAAAAATTAAATTAAAAAATACTAAATTTTATTCAAAAATTTATTTCTTCTTCTTAATGGCTTGCTCTTTTTCTTCAGGCATTCTGTAAGTACATTAAAAAGCATCAAACTTTTCGAACATCTTGGTATTTCTGACAATAATTTTAAATAAATTTAGAGCCTTCCATTTCAAAAGGGCCCACAAACGGCCGAGTGGTAAAGTCGCTGAGTACTGGTAGTTCACTTCGGGATTCGAATCCCGACGAATGGGCTGGTTGCATGGACGTTTTCGTGGTTTTTCTTATGTGCAGCGTATATACGAGCTGGTTTTGCTTAGAAATTCTTCACGAAGGCATACCTCCTTTAAGGCAGATAACCCGGCTTTGCCGTAACTTACTAGTCCTAAGCAATCCGTTTCATCAGCATTTAGTCAGAGCCTTTATCAGTCTTTACAGGCTAACCATTTTGAAGGCGTGAGATGAAAGGAAAGACTGGTTTCATCAAGAAGGAAAACGGCTTTAACTGATATACGTCACTGGATAAATTCCGGAATCTTTAAATAATTCGACTGAGAAATCAAGGGATGCTCCGTTTTTGATACGATATGATGTTCCATGAAGTAAATTAAATTTATACAACCATATAATCAAAAACCAGTCGCTCTTCGCTTTAATATGCAATGATACCGTTTTTGTCCGTTAGCACAAACTCAATTGGTGCTATTTGCTGGTGTACACGTCCAAGTGTCTTCTCTTTGAACACCCAACTTCCTTGAAGTAGATTCCCCTTTAAATTTTTGCTCCCCCCCCCCACTAATTTCCTTTTTTTCTACATTTGTTTTCAGAGCTGACACAAGAAAATTAAAAATTTTAGATTCTTACACTTCCATAAATTTTGCATTCTTGCCATTTTTTTAAAATATCAGTTGCATTAAATGCATTTCAGCTGAAGACCGCTTCTAGACATTTTAACTATAAATAAAGTTTAAAGCAAAATCCAAAGGATAAATATTTGAATTAAAAATTTTCTGTTAAATGAGAAAGAAAACTTCAGCAGTGCTCCTGTACCACCGAGTAACCCAATACTTATATCGTGCGCAAAAAATCTTAATCATATTATTTAAGGTTTTTAAACCTAAAAATTTCTGTATTAAAGAAGATTTTTTTTTTACAACACGAGAGAAAATTACTACTTAAAATATTCTTTCTAAGAGGATTAGTGCAAAAATTTATATTTATGTATATTTTTTAAAGCTGAGACATGACACAAACTCTCAACGTTCTGTTTGCTTAAAAACATTCTGAAAATAATTATCAAAGGACTTTCTCAGTTTTAAATAGTTCAATTTAAATGAAGTTAAAGTAAAGTAGCAGATGATAACACGGCAAATGTAAAAATTTATAATTACAAATATTCTTTTAAAAAAAGGAAGAAAAAAAGAAATTTTTTAAAAAGTTAAAAATTTGAATAATATCATCTATAATTTTAAAAAAATAGCTTTTCACATGGTATTAGTAAATATTTATTACGCATCATTGAGGGAAAACATTTCGTACAATTAATTCACCGTAAAAATTTATTTGAAATCTAAGGTTAAAAATAGCAAAATCTAAGGTTA